AGTCAAGTGCTCTATTGACTGAGCCAGCCAAGCACCTTAGTTGCCTACTTTTGTTTTTGTTTTCTTTTTTTTTTTAATTTTTAACATTTATTCATTTTTGAGAGACCAAGCATGAGTGGGGGAGGAGGCAGAGAAAGAGGGAGACACAGAATCTGAAGCAGGCTCCAGGCTCTGAGATGTTAGCACAGAGCCCCATGTGGGGCTCGAACCCATGAACCATGAAATCATGACCTGAGCTGAAGTTGGATGTTCAACCGACCGAGCCACCCAGGCACTTCCCAGTTGTCTTCTCATTAGTTGACGTTTCACTGTTTTGGTTTTACAGCTTGCCTTTGTGGAGTTTTATTATTTTTTTGTAAGGATGTTCACTTGTTTAGTCATTTCCCCTGATTTATAAATGAGGCAAAGCCACATAGTAAATAAAAACCACTTGTGTGACTTATGACATTTCATCTAATTTAAATTTAACTTTTTAATCAACATATTATAGATAACATATAATTTAGGTTAAAATTCTGATCCTTTGAATAAAAATCTAACCATTTTATTGGACATCAAGTAAATATCAGAGAAAATAGGACTTTTTGAATTCATGATGAATATGAGACTGCAAACAGGTTACACTAATCTGAATGAAGAACATACACAATTACATTTAATACAGTAGGTGAAGAATCTTCCTCATTCAACATTAAAATACCTGAAGATGCCAACCTTCCTTATCCTAGTGCCCATAGCACTTCAACAAAATGTAACCATCTTCTATATGGATACATTTTTTTTTTCTAACTTCTTTTTTGTGCGTAAATACTACTCTGTCCCAATCAGATCATGCAGCAAACCAGGAATGATTTCGATTTTCCCTTATAGTATGTGTGATAGGTATTCAGTCAGCACTGATTAAATATTGTTTGGTAGAAGAAGAAATTGATACAACTATTGCAACATATTAATATAGACAAATCTGGGCGTTAAGTCCTGAGTGTCCTATTTAGCTGGCTGTGTGGCCTTGAGTAAATCACGATTTTGCTAGGTTTCAGTTTACTTATCTGTAAAGTGGTAATAATAATAGCTCTTGCCTCCTAAAGGCAGTGTGTGGCCGATCTAAAAGCTTCGAGGGGCATCTGCATGATTCGGCTGGTTAAGCATCCAACTCTTGATTTCAGCCCAGGTTGTGATCTCACCATTGTGATATCAAGCCCCACATTGGGCTCTGCACTGGGCGTGGAGCCTGCTTGTGATTCTCTCTCCCTCTCTCTGTCTTCTCCCCAGCATGCTCTCTCTCTCTCTCAAAATATTTTTAAAAAATAAGTAAAAGCTTTGAACATAAATAAAACAAGGCCTATGAGATGGGTCTGGTTTGACCACCATTTTGCTTCTACATTTCAATATTCAGATAGTGACTTAATATTCTTCCAGGTTAACTTTTATGACTCTTGCATATATCTCACCACTCACAAGCAGCTCAATTAAGAAAGCTTGAGCCACCTCTGAAGCACCCACAATCTCAGGTAGGGCCTCGCGTGAGATTAAGTCAGGATTCTAGAAGTAAATTATGAACCACACTACAGGGTACAGAGAACTCAAACTGGCTGGTGACAGAAATGGAGTCTCAGTGCTCAGATCTTCTTAAAATGTACAATATGAAGAATATGATCTGTTAGGTCTGGAGTGGGTGCTGAGATCCTGCATTTGTAGCATGTGTTTATAGCAGTATTTTGATGCTTTTACTCTAAAGATCAATGGCAAACACACACTGTTTACAAAAGTTCAGGATGTATAGAAAACAAGAGCCATGTTTGCAAAATTATTTATTTACATATTAAGCTCACATTAAGACCTTTCTAAGGTAGAATGGCTAAGATGAAATATACAAAGTTGATATCAACACATACATTTTTATTTCAAAAAATTATCCTGTAGGTGGCTTTTGATGAACTCTGCTTTTGTTTTGGTTTTTTTTTTCCTCGACAAAACCAGTATTCCCTTAAATCATGTGAAAATGTCTTCCCATAAGAATAAAGTTAAGTCATCTTAAAAAGCTGAGAAATAAAGAGCTAGCTTTTATTTACTATTAAACAGCTATCCATATGCCATAAGATAGTTTTCTATTTTAGAGTAATGAGATGTTCAAATAAGCCCAAACATGATAAGTTTTAAATATGGAATGCTTTGGTTATTAGGCTTTGAGTTGGCTTTTGGCAGAAACTGTCTGTCATTCCAATGAGTCATTATAGGTAATCCATTCAAAACAAGACTTGCTCAATACTCTTACAAAGCACTTAGTCTCGCCTGGATTGGGAATACCTTTAAGATGAAGACAAAAACAGCACATTTCTTTTTTTTCTTCACTCAAGAAAAAAATCACAAAAATAAATTCATTCCCACATGTCAAAGTTCACCATGAAGTGGACTTCTTATTCTTAAAAAAAAAAAAAAAAAAAGGTTCGTCATAATAATACCTGACCTGGGTGTTCATACATTATTGAATTATTGAAACACTAAACCTGTCAGAGCTCCATTGCTATTCTGAAAGCTTATGATTTTGTGATCTATTTATGTGAAAGGCTTGAGATTAAATATATAAGCAATGCATTTGAAGCTTCTGGGAAAGATTCACATTTAAAATAGTTTTTAAAATCTGGGTTTTAAGAGTTTTAGAAAAATAAATAAAACACTGTGATTGGTTCTACCCCTCCCCCTCTACTTTTCTCCTTTTACAATTTGAGCTTAAGAGTTCAGGCTGGAAAAAGCAGAAGAAGCAAAAATAGAACAGTGTAGGCTTTGTTATCCACCTTTTTTTTTTTGTCCTAGTTCACATATCACCAAAGCAAACTTAATTCTCTTTCCTTGAAATGAAGATCCCATCTTCTAAAACTAATATAAATAACTGTTAAGGAATCCAAAGAAAATTTAACCAGTGCTTTTAATAAACACGTAAATGCCTATAAAATATGACTTGTGATTTCAATGAATGCTATTATAAAGTCTGAAAGCAAAACCTAAACATTTAAGTTCAAATTTAGTCTCTTTAAAATATCTTTTAAAAGCTATAAGTGCTATTATAAATTGCCAGTTAAACTCCCACTCTAGTTTACAAAAATAAACTGCACAAATGTGTAAATTTAAGGTAACTATTTCGCATGTTGGTCTTCCAATTTTATAAGTGCAGTAAAGCAAGAAATTAATAAGTACCTAGATGTTGATTCAGTTAATTTTCATTTGAGCAGCATTTTGATTTTGGATAAAAGATTCTAAATGTTGTCTAAAACTTTCCAGAAAGTCATATTTACATTCATTGTACAGCATTTTTATACACGTAAACAGATTTGTAAGAAGTTAATGTATGCTTTCCATAATGTAAAAAGTAAATACAACACATGTGATTACATGCTAAAGCCAGTAATTTGAGAAATATGCTTGGCGTTGTTCTGAGAGCAATAACCTTGAATAACTAGAAGCATATTACATAAATACACTACAGATGCATAGTTTACTTATGTCCTTAGTTGCCTAGGTCTAGCCACAGTTTTAAGTGAAAAATATTCTCTGTTAAAGCCTATGCCATACATGTCGTTGGGCTTACTAGTAATGTTTGCACTGGGGAAGAAGGATTAAGGAAGGCGTGATAGCGACGTCAAATGTTTTGAAGGGTAATTCTAGAGAGGAATTAAAATTATTTTTCCAAGGGGAAGTCATGACTTTCTGATAGTAAGAGCTTTGCAGACATGAAAAGGTCTGCCTCATGAATGTGAATTCCAGTCCCATAAATGGCCGTGCCTTGTCAGAGCTCAGGTAGGGAGGACTCCTGTGCTGGCAGTAGGTTGTCAGGTGGGGCTAACAGATGGTTAGGCCATGAGGAGGCCTAAAGTTGCTTGATGCAAATTATTTTGTTAAAATAAAAAAAAAAATTGATGTTTATGAGAGAGACAGAAAGCACACATGTGCGTGCATAGGTGGGGGAGGGGCAGAGAGACAGGGGAAGAATCCCAAGCAGGCTCCATGCCATCAGCACAAAGCCCCACAAGGAGCTCGATCCCATGAAATGTGAGATCATTATCTGAGCCCAAATCAAGATTCAGATGCTTAACTGAATGAGCCACCTAGGTGCCCAAAGATTTTTTTGTAACACTTAATGATCTCTTGGGCAGTTGGCTTGCATGTTTTGTTGCTGCCCATAGAGCAGTATGCGACTTTGCTATTACTTTTCTTTTAAATTGATGGGCTTGGCCTTCCAGGAATACATCAGAGTGAATTTTTTCATCTAATTGCTGTCTGACAAAAACAAATAGCTAACTAGGATGAGCTTTGTTAGTGTCCTAAACCTAATAAGTCCTCCACCAATGCCTGACTAGCTGAAGTGGGTGAGAAGCAAAGATTTTACTTGGGGGAAAATAAGTTACCATTCTAAAATGTTGACTGTTCTAGAAAGTTCTCGTCTTGGTACTGAATGCAAAATCCTATTTGGCACTCCGTTACCTCAGAATGCATGCCAGTGCTTACCAGAGGAAGAAATTCTTATGGTCAGATTTGAGGTGTTAGAGGAATAGGAAGCATGGAAATTTTAACTTACGTTAAATAATAACTCTTCCAGAAGTTAGGTTTTTAACTCTAAAATCAAGGCTTTTTTTTTCCCCCCAAAAGAGTAAATTCACTAAAAGCGTAAAACAAAAAATCACACCATGGCTCAAAGTGTAAGATAAATAAGGTCACATGGCTTATGTATTTCAAATTCTTAAAGAGGCCCTACAGTGTTTTAGGAAGACCATTTAAAATACTGTTCCCTGAGTTCTTGAAGCAACCCTAACTGTAAGTTCATGAACTCTAAGATTTTAGAGGGAGAGAACCCCAAAACATGGTTTGCTTATGTATCTTCTAAGTAACTGTTTAAAGTGATTTGTTCAGTGCTTTCCCTATAGCTCAAAGGCTGTAAGAACGTGGCTTTATTCATTTCTTAAAAGAGAAGCTCCCAAAATGACACTTCTAAGAAGGAAAAAAAATGCTTAAAAAAAGTTTTTTTTTTTTTTTTAAATCAAGTAAAGTTTTAACCTTAGTTAACAGTGCAGTTGAGTAAATCAGTTTTTAGTATGTCTAATTGATCAGGAGTGGTAATACTGCCATAGGTGTTAGAAGGTCAAGTAAACAGGCTCTGGCTCTTGCGCCCTCTGTGGTTATTGAGCTCAGGGTCGGCTACCAAAGAGCCAAAATTACTAGAAACAGAATGACTTTTCCATATTAAACTGTAAGAAGACACAGTTTTCAAATAAAGATCAAAACAATTTCATCAGATCTCAAACTTAAAATATCTGGAATTTACACAGATTTGTACATGATATTAAAAAAAACTGACAACCGGGGGTTTTAAGATTCTTGCATTGTGTTCATATATCCGCCTTTTTGGTGGCTATTAGGACATGTTTTGAACTTTAAAAACTGGGGAATAAGTTAAACAGATATGTGAATATCTATTTGCAGCTCCATGAGAGTCTCTTTAGAAAAACTAATTACAGTGAATGGAGAGTCCAGTTTTGTTGCAGGCAGTTTTAGGTTATGCTGAACTTTAAACCAGTAAAGGTTTAAAAAAAAAAAAAGTTGAGAGAATGTACTGAAACGTTCCATCCATTTCAGTAAAGTGCACAAATAGGAGTGTATCCTTTGGCTTGGCTATGACCTCAAGGGAGGTGTAGAAGTCAGTGGTGCTGGTGCCAGATTCCTGACTATAGTACTGAGGCTGGCAATCTTCTCTTCTAGGAGGTAATTTTTCTTCTCTGCTGTTTTTTGTCGCTGTTCAGTCATTTCCAGAGCTTTCAACAACTGGGCATTTTCAACATACAGATCCTTCACCATCGCATCTGCTTTAGTATTCTTGCAAAGCTAGAAACAGAAACCAGAAAAATTTTGACTCCATTTCTGTGATTGTTTTTAATTTAAGGTCTGACATTAGGACAGTTGTTCATAAAGGCAGATGACTTCTATCAGTTATATTCTTTTATTTTATGACACAGGTTTAACATCAGATGTGGCATCAGGGATCCAAGCAGAGCACATTCACTTTTTCAAGCTGTTTCTTTGCATAATGTTTGTAGAAGCCACTAATAAAAGAACAGATTGATATTTGGAGGCTCAAAAATGGTTTTTTCCCCCACCTAAATAAATTGTTATTGCCTTCTCATTCTCTAAAATTAGCAAAATACTTTTATAACTTCTGAGGTTTAGGGTGTGACCTTTAACTCTGTTCTTAACAGATGCTTGAGTTTCCCATTCATAGCCATAACCTACTGATTATTTTAAAATCTGGCTCATGTATTACAATTATAGAGGTAAGATCTGGGCAGCTCCTTTACCTTAACTCTTCCTCTTTTATATAGAACTTGTCTAGAAGATAGATTTTAATTTTTATGGTTAGAATATGTAGTCAAGGGATGGGAAAATTGGTCAGCAGCCTTGGGATAATTTTATTTTGGTTCTTATTATATGTATTCCACCCCTCTTCCCTTGTTACACCTCATTTTACACCTAGTTTTAAGCAGGGCATCTAAAAGTATAGAGGTTTCAGGGAGTCAAGAACAAGGAAGAGTGGCCAACTTATGAGCATTGCAAAGGACAATGATAAAGACTCTAACACTCGTAAGCCTGGAATCTAGATGACTGGCAAGTGTGACATATTAACCTACTCTATTGAGCTGTTCTAAGGAATCATTTCACCCCTCCTCCTCTCCCTTCCTTCCTGCCATTTACACTCTGAATGCTCTCCACAATGGAATTCCACTCTACAGAATGGAATTCAAACTCCCAGTTCAGCAACACAGGCCCCTCTACTGCCCACTCCTCCTCATTTCTCTAGTTTCTTCTCCTGCTCCTCCCAGGACAGTATGAACTATTACTGTCAAAATGTTTGTAGAATCCACACTCCGAACATTGTCATAACTGTATGATGTTCCTGTAGCCTAGAATGCCCTTCTCACGTTTCCTCACCTGTTCAGATCCTACTCAGCTGTCAATACTCGGTTAGAGGCCTTCAAGAAACTTTCCTTAAACCATGGAGTTGGATCACCTATTCTTCCCTGTGTTTCCCTCTGCTGAAAACAGAGTGGATCATATTTTCTTTATTTTTAAAATTACCACCTTGCCAAATGCTCGATACCTTGTACGTGCACTACACTCCACGCTGGCAGGATTTTGTTCTGTTCACTGCCGAATCTTTTGCACTTAGAAAAGGACTTGGCACGTAGTAACCATGTTTTGAATAAATGAATGATTTAAAGGTTGAACAAAGGATTATGTAAGACTTTCCTTTCTTTCCATTTTGTGATTAAGATATTGGTTGGGCAAAGGAAAGTTCTGGTCTGCCTCTGCATTAAGACCTTCTCTTGGTATTATTCTTCGTATGTTTTATGAGTCTACAAAGCCAGGTTGGGCAATTTCTCTACCCACCTCCACTGGGGTCTTAAATCTCCGTTTCCAAGGTAGCTGTAAATCTTCCCTATAGAGTGGTCCGTTTTTGCAGGTCTCTGCAGTGGTTTAGCTAATATTTTCTAAATCCAGGCCACACCTGGCACCAGCAGGTCAGGGTCCCTATTCTAATCCAGAGCACAGCCTTTTGGGGTTTGGATACAGCCATGAGACTTTTGGAAGTTGTCATAGCCGTCTCAAACAGGAAAGCTGAAGTTCCATTTATTATCCTCCCATTTTTTACCTACAAAGATTTTCTGGTGATTTAAGTAGAATATTTACTGTCTGGGGCAAATAAAAAAAATCTAAAAAATTAAATGAGCCACTCAACTTCATTAGGAATGTGTTAGGTCCAAATGAGTCTCTGTTACAAATGTACATTTTTTAAATTGTAGACAAACATGCCTTGAGAGCGTTGGAAAAATAATGCAGACTACAGAATTCATACTTTTGGAGTGGTGTGGGAGAGAGTGAGTCCTAAATTCTGCTATACATCTGTGGTAGAATTTGCCTTTATTTGACAACAAAAGTGAACAAGTTAATGGCAATAAAGGAATGTAAAACTGGAGTTAAAAGTGGAATGTGGGGTGGATGGTGGGTGGAGAGGATCTGGGAGGCTCACTTGTTCTTTGAGCTGATTCACTTTCTCCTGAAGAAGCCTTTTCACCAGTTTCAATTTCTGTTCAACTTCCATCATTCGTTCTTCCATGACAGTTACCAGTTGTTCCTGGTTTCCCTGAAGGGAAGAAAAAATGTGTTCTCATTTGAAAATCATGCCATACTGAAAAGAAAGCACTAGTAATTTATTTTTCCCACAAGATGCCTAGAGAAAGGACAGTAACTGCCTTTGTAAATGGAGGGGTGGATTTCTGATGAAATGGGGGCTCTGACCACCACATGGCTTGCACGCTAGAAAGGTAACCCTAATCAGGGAAAGAATCAAAGATTAAAAAGAAACATCTTACCTGTGTTACTATCTTCCCCTGAGATAAAGCAAAATTCTAAAAACCCATAATTTAGTACCTGTGGGCACTTCTTCTAGTAAAATAGTTTTTCCAAAGTAAATTAAAATATGGTTATGGTTATCAACCCTGCATCTATGACTTGGGCCTTGGCAATACTGTGGGTCTCTCAAGAACAAAACAAAACTGAGTTTATTCAGGATCACTTAACGTTTCCAATCAGCTTGCAATTTGCATGTCCAGTTTTTCTGTGTGAAATGGCTGCTTACAGTGAGGGTATTAGTGTTCCTTTCTTCATAATAATCGGCTTCTTCCTGCCAGTTATTGTTGTCATCTGTTTCCCAATTTGACTTGTCAATGTGAAGTAAACATCTGGATTGGAGGATGGGTTTATCATAAAAGATTTAAAATTAAATCTCCCCACAAACAACTCCTAGATAAAAGAGGAGGACAGAAGAAGAGCCCTGGCTTCTCTTCCTCGCCTGACACAACAGTGATGGCTGAAGAAGTTCCGTGCATTTTGGAGAGAAGGACCCAGAGAGACTTAGAGTGCAACCAGCTGCCCTCCCTGCAGGCCACTGAAATGTCCACATAAGGAATTTCAGATTTTAAAAGGTTCTTCAAGCATTTATGCAAAACTCAGACGTTAATGGCTTACGGTATAACTCCTTTTAAAAGCGTTCAGAATGACCAAACATGGGTTGAAAGCCAACATTTGTTTGGATAAAATGACAGCATTTATTCAAATGTAAACAACTAAACCATGTGACTAGTTTGAAGACAATTGTAGTGATAAAAGAAAATGCCAGGAGTAAATTTCAGGAAATTAGGCTTTGAGAATATTTAGCTTTAAAAAATACTAGATTTTAAAAGATAGAATGGCTTTTTAAAGGTCAAATGTAAACAGAAGATGCCTGATTTCTACTTGGCTTAAAAAAAAAAAAATTACAGATAACTCAAAGAACATGGAGCATGGCCCAAGAGTGAGGAAAGAGGAAAAACAAAGGCAGTCATATATTTAAAATTTATTTTATTATTTCATCAAAAATTTCCTTTTTCCTGTCAAAAAAGCATTATACATCTTATACAAAACAGTATAAATAACCCAAATTTTCTTCAAATTCCATGTATAAAAGTAGTACCTCTTATTAAAAATAGTTACAGCATATGGAATGAGAAAATAAATAGAATACATCCTTCCAAGAATCTCAAGTCCACACTCTTTAAATGGTATAAATAAAATGATTTGCAACCAGCTGAAATTTGTGAATTTGATTCACAAACTGTCATTTCTACATTAATAAATAAGAGACATAATACTGCAAAGGCATAATAATAATAATAATAATAATAATTTAAAAGAGCACTTGATTCCAAAATGTTTTCCAGCTTATGTCTCTGTGGGGGGAGGGGGGGGGCGCGGGGTGTGTGTGGGGGCGTGTGCATCTGAGTAGCTGCCAGGGTAAGAAATGTCATCAATAGCAGCCCAGTTTTCACAGGTGCCCAATCCTTCTGTAGGAATCTGCATGCACTGCTCGCTGCTCCGGTAGCAAGGCCTAGAGAAAGAAGGCAAGTGGTACACTTCACCCTGATGTCAAGATCATGTTTTGGGAGGACTCTAAATTCACACATTTATAACACAAAGGATTTTTAAAAGCACACACATTAACACTACAATGCAAGCAAAGCAACACAGAGGTGGAAAAAATCACATCACTCCACACACAGAGGCAACGTGCAGATTCTAATGATGCTCTGTAATCTTAAAATTAGTGTCAGCTCAGAGGCCAGAAATATGAGAGCCTGCTGTGGGTATTCTAGCAAAAGCAGTCTACTCTGCCATGTGGCTGAAGAAAAAAAAATTTTTTATTTTTTTCAGTATAGAAACCTTAACAGTTTTTGTGGCGCCTGGGTAGCTTAGTCAATTAAGCATCCAACTTCCGCTCATGATCACCCAGTCTATGAGTTCAAGCCCCGTATCAGGCTCTGTGCTGACAGCTCAGAGCCTGGAGCCTGCTTCAGATTCTGTGTCTCCCTCTCTCTCTCTCAAAAATAAACATAAAAAAAATTAAAAAAAAAAAAAAAAACCTTAACAGCTTTTGCCTATCTAAGCCTGAAGTAAATGGAGTAAAAGTGTATTTTTTTATTTTTAAACATGGGTGGGTGGGTTGGAAGAACATGCTTTGAAAACAGCATGAATGAGAAAGAAATGGATAAAATCTTAGCCTAATCATTTGGTTAAAATGTCTGTTAAAAACTGAGGTCAAGGTTTTATAACTCAGTTCTGTAATGAGTTACTGAAGCATCTATTTGACACCCCACCCACAGAATTTTGATTTTTGGAAACTGAAGCAGCATAGAGGAAGCTTCCAAAAACGTGGATTAAAGCACAAAAGACAAGAGGCGCCTGGGTGGCTCATTCGGTTGAGTGTCCAACTTGGCTCAGGTCATAATCTCCCGGTTTGTGGGTTCAAGCCCCGGGTTGAGCTCTGTGCTGACAGCTTGGAGCCCCTGCATCAGATTCTGTGTCTCCCCTTTTCTCTGACCCTCCCATGCTTATGGTCTGTCTCTTAATAATAAATAAATGTTAAAAAAAAATTAAGCACAAAAGACAAATAATTGTGAGGTTCTGTTTGAAAGGACAGATGACCGGATATAATGACAAAGCCTCGATATATACTATTAGCAGAGGAAGACAGAACTGCTCCACTGTATTACTGTAAACTTGACTTTGCAAAGCCACTTTGAGATAATTAGGGAAAAGGAGTTGGGGGAATTCCTTATTAAATGTCCACGGAGAGACAACAGAAAAAGAGCATCCAAACTAGAAAGAATGCATTTAAAATTATAAAAAATAAGGAGTAATTTTAATTTTATTCCTAGTTTTCAATAAACAAAACGGGCAAGCAAAGCTGGACTATGAATGAAGCACTTAAGAGAACTATTTGAAAATCCAGCTTGTATCAGACTGTGTCTGTAGGGAGCTAGGATGATGCTAACTCAAAGGGAAGGGGAAAAGTTTTTCCAACTAGATCATTTTAAAAAATGTAGGTGACGTTTTTCATTTAACTTAAGTCACTGACTCCACAAAGTTCCCACTTGTGAATTCTATGGAACCCAGCAAGCTCTACCCCTCTGGTACAGGAAATCCCAGGGTGCTGTGTTAGTACTGCGTATCCTAGAGGTACACTTGAATTCTGTAGTACTTTTGACATTTGTCCGATGCCAAGTCAAAAAATGTTAGGTCAGCTGTACACTGTGTCTAGTGACCCTGATCCTTCGTCATCAATTACGAATGTGCAAAGGAGACCCAGAACACTGCATCTCCCAGCTTCGAAGCTGAGAGCTCAAAAGCATCACTGCAAAAAACCAAACCCAAACGACGCTGCAGTTCCGTGGATCTGTAACACAGGTGAGGTGGAAACTCTTCGGCAGACATTTAAGTTCTTCATCCCCACCTCTGAACGGGTCTAACTTCCCAATAAACAGATCAAATTAGGTGATCTGAGTTTACTATGAGGGAAAACAGAGCCTTGTACCTGTGGTGTGTTGGTGTCGGAGGTCCTGTTTTCAAGTTCCTCCTGCAGGCACTGGTTCATCCTTTCTGCCTGCAGCAGCTGCTGTTGAAGCTGCAGAAACTGCTCCCTGGGCACCGTCGGACAGGCTTGCTGCTGGCGCAGCTGGAGATCCCACGCATGAGGGGCTGGGCTAAGCATCACAGTGGACCTCAGGTGCTGCATCTGGAGGACAGAGGCAGAGCCCTGGTCAGCCACGGTGCCCTCAAGCACAGAGCTGCCCTTGAAAATGTCAAGCAGAGGGAGTGAAGCTGATGAATTCACGAATGGCCTCTCTGACCCACTGATAACATGAACACAGGACAGTACATGACTTGAGCAAGAAGTAAGTAATGGGAGGGGACATTTTCCTTAGGAGAGGATATAGTTAATGAAGAAGTAGGCCTTCTTAAAAGTTTTAGACTTAAAAAATTGTACTTCCTCACTCTCGACCGAGTTACACGATATACATAATGTGTCTGAATTCTACTTCATTGTTTTCCGTCACTAGTATCTTTACTTATGCCTGTTTCAAAAACAAACACAGACAGGGTTGAGGTAAGCAAAGGGGAGAATGTGGTTTTGCTTTACAGTTTTGCCACTTACCATTCGTAAAGATTCTTAAGAGCAAATGTTCAATGACTACATGTTTTCCACGTTAGCAATTTATTCAAAGAATCTCATATCTAAAATTATTTTAACCTATTTAGTTTACCAATGTTTAGCTCTTAGATAGCACTATAAGATAAGCAATTCGGGGTTAGAGGGTGATATCCTCGAACACCTGGGAACTGACGTATTTGTTCAAGACAATGAGAAAATGATGCGCGTATCACATGCCAAAGTTGGGGAGAGGAAAAAGGAGAATGCACACTGCATGTGGCCGGTGAAGCATGCCACTCCACATCTGTCACTACACTCAGCAGACCGAGGACTCAACAGAAGGCATGCAACGAACACAACCACGTACCAAACTCAAGAAGAAGCACCTCCAGGCTTGTGAGAGGGGAAGGAGGCCCTCTAAGACAGGACTATAACTAAACGTGACCATGAAACTTCAGAGCCATTATCCATTTTCTCAAATCTAAATTTCTGAGGTGGGAGATTACCTATTTTGAAATCTTTCTAGTTACAGATTTAGAAAACCCACCATTTTATTTTCAGGAATAAAGAACATGGAGAGTTAGAATCCCATGATTTTACGTCAGCAGGATGATTTTCTTCACATAGATCTTTGACTACTGAGGAAAATCTTGGTATAAATGTAAACAGATGTATTCCACAGTTAAAGCAAACTAAAAATGAATACTGGCTCTTACCTGAGGTATGTATTAACTGTTACAGTCAGTAGAAATGATTACATGAACAAGGAGTCTAATGAGGTCTCCATGCTAGGAAATTCATTGAAAGAGAATGTTCTACCTTCACACACTATCTCAGGCAGAGAACTGCACCCTTCTCTGCTAGTTCCAACCACAGAGTTCTAGGTACAGGTTAGCCACAGACAAAACAAAAACAAAAGAAAATTACAGGAGTCATAAAGAGAGGAAGAAAAGTAGGAGTTATAAAAAGAACAGTTAAAACTGGGTATATTATATACTTGAATAGATGTGCTCTAGTCAGAAAGAACTTACAAATGACCAACATTTACATTTCTCTGTATACAAACTTGATAGATACTAAATGTCTTACGGCTCTGATCCTGCACCTGCAGTCTGAGTTTGGGAACTTACCACCTTTTCCTCCACCGACCCCAATATAGTTAGTCCAGGTCCAGCATGGGGGATCTCATGTTGAATACTTGGTTTTACAGTTTACATTCTGCATCTCCAAATGGCAATTTTCTCGTTCAAGTGTTTGAAAACTGTTGGCTACCAGAGGTACACAGTGGACGTGAGAACTGCTGGTATGGACTGTAACCCCTTTTTTGAATGTTCAAAATGAACTGTTTATAGAACACTGCCTCGTGAAGTTCAAAGAGCCCCGGAATGGGACTTAAATTCTTCTATTTCCTACTCTAGTGATTTGGGATCTATAATTGCCCTGGGGTAGGACCATGTATTATACCAGATCAGTGACTTTTAAACTGGCATAGAAGGATGAGGAGAGACTCCTTCCCTCAAGGGAGTGCCTACATCAGATTAGAAAGCTTTTGTTAAGTTCCTTGATCCCAAAGATCCTGATGTAGGAACCTCTCCCTGCCTGCCCCCAGCCCCTGCCGAGTGACAGGAATGTACCTATCCCTCAGGTGAGGTGGACACACACACACACACAAATGGCGTGAAAACCACTGTACACCCCCCAAAGTGCCCTACTCGATAGATATCTGAATATAAGTAAAAATCCAGTGTGTAGGGCTGGTGGGATAAGCGGAGTTCCTACCTAATGGTTAGAGTCTTTGGCATAATGCAGAAGTTTTGGAAGAACTGATGGTTGGAGAACACTGTGAATGTAATTAATGCCAGTGAATTGTATACTTACTGCTTCACATGGCAAATTCTGTTATGCAAATATTTCCATAATATAAAAGGATACCAAAAGTCACTGAATCATACACTTTAAATAGGTAAACTGTATATAGTATGTGAAGTATATTTTTAAAAAGCTGATAATCCACTTTGTATAGGTCTGTACAGAGTTAATAGCTGTCTTCTATCCTCAAGAAAATTTCATTAGAGTAGTGTAGGAGATAGTCTTCAGTGTTCCAATGGAAAATTCATGCTTTTACTTTAGTTATTCAGCTCTAGTGCCATGAACCCTCGATTTACCTCATCCATTAGCAAATCTTTACTACTCGATCAAGGAGAAAAATAATGAAGGGAAATTGCTTATGATTGCTAATCATGTAAAGTGGGGTTAGGAAGAGATGGAGGTTTCTGAGGACAGCTCGAGCAGGTGGGAGAAGAACTGGCCTGCGGGCAGAACATTTGGAGAGGCACTGCCAGTGATTAAGTACACCCTGTTACTTATTAATTTGGGACTAGAGCTGTGGAGCTTAGCTTCAGATACCTTATTCATCACAGTATATAATTATTTCATCAGAAAGCATGTCTATCTAAACACAGCCTGCAGCTCGAGCTATTGAACACATTTATTATATGCTGCCAGAGAAAGAAAAAATGGTTTGGATTTCACTATTTATAGTTTAATCTCCCTATTAGTGGATAAATCGGAGAACTTAAAGTTGGCAGAAACCTCAGTGGTCATGCAAATTTTTAGTGTGACATGTTTGCCCATATTTCACATTTAAAAACCATCCATTTAAAATTACTTGGGCATGTCCAATTTCTTAAAATATTTAAATCTTTCTCCGGATAATTCTGGTTTTAAGAAATTTTATACGTAGTAGTTTTTAAGAGCACAAAAACACATTTTCTACCTATGCCTCTCTACCTGACATAAATTTTACAGCTCGCTACATGGTATTTTCATTTACCCAAAGCCAAATGTCTCAGTGAAGTTTTTACTTATTAAGGAGGATTTGTACAGATATTAACATCCTACAATTGTACTTAGTAATCAGAAAGCAGTCTGGTGGACTGGACACTCCGTGTCCAAGCTGACAAGTTTTACATCTCCATTTTTATGTTTAACAGATGTACCTCTCCCGAGGCAGTGCTGAATTACAAATGTTGTAATAAACAATGACAGCACTTGACCATTAAAATTCTAAATGCTAGTGTTCCCAAATTCCTAACCTAAGAGGCTGCTAGCAACCTGCACTACATACGATACAGGAGGTATCGGGAAACTGTTACAACCAGAGCAGTGGTGGGGAGCTCTGGGCCTTCGAGCCAGTAGCAGACAGAGTCCCTGCCCCTGAATTTGTTGCGGTGCGGGTACTTGCATTTTAGGTTTACCTGCATTTTTCCTTCCTCTGTGAAGCAGTGTGAATTCCTGTGACTATGTAATGAGCAAAAATGTCTGTCAAACTTGGTAAGACAGACCAAAGAATTCAGCTTGGCAGCACACTTTCCCAGTTTTTTTCATAGCGGGAATTCAGTGCTATGCTAGTCTCTCTCGACAATGGCACATTCATGGGTTAAAATATTCTCCAGAGCTGAGGTCCTTTGCTTAAAAACTTACCTCCATTAGCTGCTCATCCAGTTTTACTTGTTTCTTTTTCAGGCCTTCATTTTCCAAATGAATTGTTTCTAATTCTCTTTCAAGGGAATTCATCTGACTGACCTGCTGAAAAACAAAAATACCAAAAATTCCCTTTAAAAACAAACACACACACACTCGAGTTGCTCTACTTTATTTTGACACACGTCAGTCCAACGTCTCAACCCTTGGAAGAAAGCAGAGATCATTCATCAAAGGAAAATGACAATATGATTCAGTGCATCAATTACACTTAAGGAGTGTGGTTTTTGATCATCACTGCTTACGTACACAGAACAGATTCCATAAGGCACCTGGCTTGCACACTTCAGTTTTACTCACTGTAAGAAGCACATCCAGGACATAAAGCCACACCCATATGTACATACATATGCATAATCAGTTATAAGTACAAATCACTGAAAGAAAACTTTCATGAAATGATATTTATCCTTACCATGAGCCATGTACTCTGATATTTTCTAGCACATTTTATTAATAAAAAAGGTAGATGCTTTCACTAAATCACTTTCATGATCCTCTACTATGGATCTGCGGTGGGAAAAGGTCTTAAGGCAAAGTTTAAATAAGGTTTAAAACAGAGTACATAAAACCTGATTTATATATGGGGCGCCTGGGTGGCTTAGTCGGTTAAGCGTCCGACTTTCGCTTAGGTCATGATCTCGCAGTTCGTGGGTTCGAGCCCCGCGTCGGGCTCTGTGCTGACTGCCAGCTCAGAGCCTGGAGCCTGTTTCAGTCTGTGACTCCCTCTCTCTCTGACCCTCCCCTGCTCACGCTGTCTCTCTTTCCTAGAAATAAATAAAAAACATTAAAAAAAAAAAACACCTGATTTATATAACTCCTATCTCAATTTTAAAGACGAAATCTGAAGATTTTATGAGCATCCGATATTTTTTGGAATTCTCTATTGCAAGAAGAATCTCATGAGCTACCTGACCAGGAATTCGGGATATTGCTAAGTAGAAAATATAGGATACTTCTCAAGGATGCAGATTTTGGTTTCTATCAAAAAGAGCTGAGGAGAGTGGCAAGAGTTTTTAAACAGAAGTGTAATCTTTTCAAGTTAAAACCTATCATTAGACTTTCCCCTCAGTGAGCAGCTGGATGCAACCCTTTATCTTTCTGAAAAGTGTACTTGAATGTACCTAAAATTAAATGGCATTTCGGCTTTAGAGCACAAACTGGGCTTCTTACCGCCTATGGTCATAACTTTCACAAACTTAAAATTTTCAGACAATCTTTACAACAGAAATGAATGATCATTCATCATTCTGCCCCCATTTTTGCATAAACTGTAATTTTCAGAAGAGGAAGGTAACAGTGACCACTCTGAGTTTTAGTTGAGAAGAAGGAAGAAAGAAAAACAAGTAATGACAAGGACTCCCAGGGTAGCACTGGTCTTAGATCTCTTACTTCATGGAACAAACTATAGAAAGTTGTGCTAGATGTTTAACCACGTGGTAGCCACCCTCCAACATGGTCCCTAATGATGTCCACCCATGGTGTTCACACCCTCGGTCTGTGTGACCAACTGAAGACCGCAGAAATGATAATGTGTCACTTCCAAGGATTCACTTATAAAAGGCACTACAGCTTCTGTCATGATCTTTTGGAATTCTCTCTCTCTCTCCTATCTCTCGCTACCACGTCCTGAGAAAAGGCCCTGGTGGGGAAGAACTGACGCTTCTGGTAAAGAGCCAGCAAGAAACAGAGCCTCTTCCTAACAGTTATATTACTGAACTGAGAAGTGGATGGTCTAGTTCGGTGAGGCCTTCAGATAAATGTAGTCCCAGCTGATATCTGGACGGCAACCTCATGAGAGAGCCCGAGCCCAAACCTCTCAGCTAAGCTGCTTCTGAATTCCTGGCCCACAGAAACTGAGACAACAAATGTTTGTTGTTTTAATTTGTTACACAGCAAGAGATAACTAATACAGACCATATAGTAAGATGTTCATAATATTCAACATATATATATATATTTAAAAATATATCTATTTTACTAACTTAAAAGGGCTGTGGGGCGCCTGGGTGGCTCAGTCAGTTGAGTGTCTGACTTTGGCTCAGGTTATGATCTCACAGTTCATGAGCTGGAGCCCTGTGTAGGCTCTGTGCTGACAGCTCAGAGCCTGAAGCCTGCTTCAGATTCCGTGTCTCCATCTCCCTCCCCCTCCCCCACTCTGTCTCTGTCTCTCTCGTGCACTCTCTCTAAGGTAAATAAACATTTAAAAAAAAAAATGAAAAGGGCTGTAATACTGTTGAAGATGATTAAGCATCTTCATTATGAATGCTTAAAGTTAACTGCTCCTTTGCAACCATCACTCAATCAGAAAGAACTATGATACGATTTGACCAGATTACAAAAACATAGATAGAAGAACCAAAATATACCATTGTGATGACTTCCTTGGAAGCATGCAGGGAAAAAAACATACACTTAGGGACACATCATAGTAAGGATACTGACACGTAGTATAACCTCTCAAAACTCACCTTCCTATTAGTAGGAGATCGTTCCTTTTGAAACTGTTCACACTCTCTCTTTAGGCTCAATTTCTCTTGCTCTGTAGGCTTCACAGTACCTGATGAGTTTAGATGTTTTTGGTGCTTGGGGGGAAGAAGGTTGGATTCCAGCTGACGGACCTAAGAGTAACATATGTATGAGGAACAAATGTTAAGATGCTCATCCAGTGAGAAAAAAACACAAAAAGAACATAAGTTTTGTTATATTAAAAACACTTTCCAGTCAAGTCTGCCAATTCTTTTAATTTTTTGATGTTTCTTAATTTTTTGATGTTTTTGAGAGTGCGTGTCTATGAGTGAGTGGGGGAGGGGCAGAGAGAGGGAAACAGAATCTGAAGCAGGCTCTGAGTTGTCAGCACAGAGCCCAATGTGGAGCTTGAACTCACAAACTGTGAGATCATGACCTGAACCAAAGTCGGACACTTAATCAACTGAGCCACTCAGGCACCCGAGTCTGCCAGTTCTCAAAGTCTGCCTTTTTGGATTGTAAAAGATCCTTCTAGGTAAATCTATTTTTAGTCTGGTTGGGTCTAAAAACCCCACACTGTAAGGATCTGAGAATAGAGGACCTCTGGATCTACCAAACTGCTGGGCGTCCACAGTGTGACAGGGCTGTCAGGAAAACAGACATGGTCCTTGGCGCCCGCTCTCTGACGTGAGCATAACTTTTAGGAGTCAGTGAGGTGACCGTTCCATCAATTTCACATTGGACTGTTGACACATGAAACAACGTATCTACATCAAGTTCCGTGAAGACAGCGACCATGTCTGTCTGGCTCAACACTGTAACTTCCGCAATAGCAGAGTTTCCGGCACAGAGCAGGTGTTCTAAATCACTATCTGTGACTCTTCAGAGAGCTCTTCCTCAAGGGAGATGTTTAAGCAGCGTTGGCCAACTACTCAGCAAAAGTAAAGACTATAAACATCAATTGAGTGTTTGGAAACGATCATCTTCAGAGACCATTCTAACCTCGAAATGCTGAGTCTTTAAAAAGGGGTACTTTTTCTCTTGCAAGGAGTTAGCCCAGCAAGATGGGAGTCCAATTTTGCCATTTTTGTACTGCCAGTCTTGGTGGCTGGTCTATTTGAATGAAGAATAAATAACATGGTTACCATCATTCCTATGAGTCTGTTTTGGAAGTGACGACTAAAGTCATTGATTTTTAATATAGAAACGATTACACAAAATGCAAAACAAAATATTTTATGATCATACTAGGATAAAGTTATTTGCAAGTAAATGATAAATCAGACATTGTGAAAGTAAGTCTGCCATAGCAGAATCCTTAAATCCATACCCTGGAACCATTTCAGTCCTATCAAACATTCATCTATATACCACACTATTTTCAAACGTATGCGAGCGACCGTGTGCCGCTTTTCGTCACCTTGTCCCGCGAGTGCGTGAGTTCCGCTTTGGTGTTCCGCACCGCAGTCTGCAGTCTCTCGTTCTCCTGCCTACACAGCTGTTGTTCCTGCTCCATCAGATGCTCCATCTTGTCCCAAGATGGCCTTTGCTTCTGGTTATGGAATCCTGATGAATGGGTGGCTATTTCTGGGGCCCAGTTCTGAAAAGCAAATTGCAGAGTTAAGCCTTAAACACAAGCTGACTGTTGTTTTGAATCTATTTACTCAGTGACAATAATCATTCTTCATGTCTTCTAATAGGGATGAGTGTATGTTGTCTATATACATATAAAAAAAATATTTGGGAGGTTTGATTTAAAAGAGGTTTGGAAAATTCTTTGTTTAAAATAATCTTTGGCAAAATAGCTCCATCAAGTCTAACAGCAAAGATGTTAGGGCAAGTCGAGTCCATATGGAACCCAATTGCATAGAGGTTGGTGGCCTTAAAAATAGCTTCATTCTTATGGAGTTAATGCTTTGAACCCAGATCACTATTCTTTTCCTTTAACAGAGAACACAAAGGGGACTTCAAGATGCACAGCTAACCTGAAAGCTTTCACAAGCTAAACTCTACTTTCATTTTTTCCCATGTGCAATCATCTCCTTTCTTAGAATCCAAAGCACGTACTGTCCATGTAATTGAGACCTGAACTCAGGATATGCTTTTAGCTACCAAAGGGATTTTTTGGATCTTGGAAAATGCTTTAAAAAAGGTAACAGGTAGGTAAACCTTTTGCATTTTAAGCCAATACATGAAAAAGAAAAAAAGTTACAATCCCATTTCTGAGAGAAATGTCAGCCCAGAAGTAATTTTTAAAACTGGAAAGAACTATTTTCCTTTGTAAAAAAATAAAAAAGAGGTCTCTGCTGGCTCTGTTGGTAGAGCACGTGACTCTTCTTCTTGGGGTCATGAGTTTGAGCCCCATGTTGGGTGTGGAGCCTACTGAAAAATATATGTATGTATATATATATAAAATAAAAAGTATCACCAAGATATAACTGTATTAAAATAACTGTCCTACTTTTATGGTAGGACAAGATCTTAGTATCTCCACAAGGCTGACATCTGTAATACCACTTTTAATTTTTTTTTTTTTTTTTGGAAATTTTTTTTTATTTATTTCTAGGAGAGAGAGAGAGAGACAGCGTGAGCAGGGGAGGGTCAGAGAGAGAGGGAGTCACAGACTGAAACAGGCTCCAGGCTCCGAGCTGGCAGTCAGCACAGAGCCCGACGCGGGGCTCGAACCCACGAACCGCGAGATCATGACCCGAGCGAAAGTCGGACGCTTAACCGACTAAGCCACCCAGGCGCCCCAGTACCACTTTTAATTTATATAAGCACACAAAGTAGCATTTTGATATATTAAAACGAGATACACTTTATACAATATCAAAATGTTTTTGTTACCATAAAATAACTCAGCATGGCCTCCTGACTTGCATAATACAAAACAATCTTGTCACTCTCCATTTATAAACTCCATTTATATGAATTTCAGAAATAGGCATCCCTAACCTATGGTGGCAGAGGGTGGAGAAGTGGGTCCCCTGTGGTTACTGACTGGAGGGGAGATGTGAGAGCCTGCTGGGTGCTGGCAGTGTAGTTTGAGATAGGAGGTGTTTACACAAGTATAAACATATGCACATACATCGGTGTGGCAAATATACACAAAGACTCGTGAACAACACAGGTTTGAACTGCACGGGTCCATTAACATGGAGATTTTTTTTGAGACTATACAGTATTGTATTTTTTCTAGCTTTATTATAAGAATATAGTATATAGTATGTATAATATACAAAATATGTGTTACTTGCTTATATTATTGGTAAAGCCTCCAGTAAACAGTAGGCTTAACTATTAGTAGTTAAGTTTTGGGGGAGTCAGAAGTTATATGTGGATGTTTGACTGCACAGGGAGTTAGGGCCCCAAACCTCTGCGTTGTTCAAGGATCAACTATTATTTATGTAAACACACATACATCTATAAAAATACTCAAATGACAGTCTTCAACTCTGTGCACTTAACTGTATAAAGTTATACCTCAATAAAAAAGAAATTACCTTGTCACCAGCATTCTGAAGTTGCTTATATAAAGACAACACTTCTTGTTTTAAAGCCTCCTTTTCCTGCTGAGTCACTCGGAGGTCAGATTTAATCAGGGACATTTGCAGGTTTACATCCTGGAGGGTGTCTTCTAAACTCTGAACCTGTATCATGAGAAAAATCTTACACTGTGACACAGATCCTCATGGTCTCATCTATAGCATGTCTAGGAATGAATGAGCTAAGAGAATTCCAAGGTCCCTCCTGTTTACTATATCCAGCTCTTTTTAGTAGCCTAGTGGAAACCCCAGTTATTATGTTTATTTACCGGATATTACATTCAGATCAATTGATGAGCTATGCCCTGGAGCAAGGTATTGCTGACACAGTCATCTGGTATATGATCAAGTGATATCTTACAGAACCAGTGAGTACCAGCTGGCATGACAAAACCTAGCTCAATCCCATGAACCGTGAGATCACAACCTGAGCTGAAATCAAGAGTTGGATGCTTAACCAAATGAGCCATCCACGCGCTCTGGTATCTATTTAATTAAAATTAATCTAGATTTGTAAATGCAATGTTGATAGATATATTAACAAGGCATGAACCTGCCTTAGAAATTCTTTTTCTAAATCAGAAACAAGCAGTCATTTCTACACAGTAATCTCAAGGTTTCATAAGTAATCTCATAATGATGAGGTAATCTCATAATAATGAACTCTGGAGAAACTGTTGTTCAATTTCATCACACTATAAGCATATGACAAATATTAGTCAAAATGAATCATTATGAGCCAATTCTATCTGGAATATTCTTTCTACTAGAAATTCTGCTGAAATACATAGGAAAATATTAACTGTGCAGGTGAAACAAGAGTTGTCCACATACCTTTTCCTGTGAAGCCACTAGTTGCGACTTTAAGGTCTCACTCTGGTGTTCCCACGACTTCTGTTCTTGCTTCATCACAGCAATTCTGTGCTCTAAAATGCTTGATTTTGCCAACTGTTTCAGGACAAGGAAAGAGATAGCAGGCATGTCTGCAAACACATCTATAGCCTCGATTTACCTATCTCCACATAGGCTGAAAAGATCAAACGCCATGGGGGAGCAGGGCAAAGTAAAAGAAAGACATTTTCCTGACTCCCTTTTCTACCTTTAATTTTGAGGAGTCTCTTCTCTTTGGTAGTTTCCATTTTTCTCTCTCACTGCCCTCATTGTGGGTGAAAAATGGTAGGCTGAAAGGCAATTAGAACTCTCAAGAGAGTACCATAATAGGAAAATACGGAATGCCTATTAAGGCAGGTGGGACGAAAGCAATGTTATAGGATTTGCTAGGGAAAATACAATAGAAAACAAAGTGTGTGTCTACGTAATAGATCTCAGAGTATTAAATGCAACACTATATTATTAATAGTGACATACATAAATAATATACATTAAGTAGCATGGTTATATATTAAAATGAGGAAAACTATGTATTACTATGTTTAATAATGTAATTATTAAACAACTAATTTAGACTCCTTTTAAAATCCTGACCTCAGAAATTCTGAGGTCGCATAAGGCCCGCTGAAATGCTATTCCAGGAGACCATGGAACACTTCGGCTAAAACGGGAGAGCCAAGTGCCACTGGACACAGAAATGCTCACTGTGGAATACACTGTAGAGTGAGGGTAAAAAGTCTTCTGTTTACTACCTTATCCACACAGCTCTTTAGTTCCTCACTGAGAGTTTCCTTTTCTTTCAGCAGTTTTTCATTGTAGCTAAGAACACTAGAAAGTTTCTGCTGGAAGTCAGAGAGATCAGGACATCTGTGCAGCTGTAAGAGATAAACAATCCCATCGCGTCTCATGGCTGTATTTATAAACAGGGCATTTTCATGGCTGCTATTTCCCTATCTACATAGATATTTCACAGGACATATAAACCCTAAGGAACTATAATTAAATTTAAAAAAATGTTCCCTGCTAGAGTCTCTCCATTCTCTAATTGACTGCCAAAATGTCTGCTCAGATGGATTCACACAGACACTGTTATATAATGGTCCTAGCCTCTGTTTCACCTTCAGGGGAAAATAAGTAACATGCTGCCATTCTGTCATCAATTTAACTTGTGCACGTATATAGCACCAGACATTTTCCTCGTGCTTTTTTAACTGGAAAAAAATCTTTTTCAGCTATCTCGGTCAAGACTATAGACTTGGCATGAACCAAGTACAGTGAATCAATACAAGGACAAGTTTAAAGCTAAAACGGTCAGTGTTTTTCAGTGTATTTCATGGGTTCCCTTCGGAAGGGGCCCAAACTGCCTTGCTTAGTAAAATGTTAATGCGAACACATTGGCTTCCTCCTCTCCACCGGAATCAAGACAAACCAAAGGCTGTTTCTGTTCCGTTTCAGTATCAGCTTTACTAGGACTGATGTTGTGGACCAGATAATTCTTTGTTGTGGGGGGTCTGTCCTGTGCACTGGAGAATGGTTAGCAGCATCTCTGGCTTTTAGATGCCCATAGCACCCCTGTCCCCACACACCAGTTGTGAAAACCAAAAATGGCCCTAGACATTGCTAAATGTCCCAGGGTGTGGGAGTGATTCCTTCCTCCCCGCAATGACTGCTTTTTAAAGACACCGATTGTTTCTTCCCATCGTCCATATACTTTTATTTCCCTCTGTTTCACTTGACTTTTTTTTTTTTAATGTTTTTTATTTATTTCTAGGAGAGAGAGAGAGAGAGACAGCGTGAGCAGGGGAGGGTCAGAGAGAGAGGGAGTCACAGACTGAAACAGGCTCCAGGCTCTGAGCTGGCAGTCAGCACAGAGCCCGACGCGGGGCTCGAACCCACGAACCGTTAGATCATGACCCAAGTGAAAGTCGGACGCTTAACCGACTAAGCCACCCAGGTGCCCCTCACTTGACTTATATTTTCAGTTCTTTATCATGATTTTATGGCCATCTTTCTACTTCATATCTTAAGTTGTTTCACACATTTAGCTTCAGGAATAATATGACAACATAGACTTTAAGGGTTGAATCTTGTCTCCAACTGAGAATACATCACACCTTACAAATCTAAAATGAGGACACAGGACAATGCAGTTTAAAGTACCTAGGCACTGCTTTGCTAAAGGACCTTTCTCCTTTGCTCACTACCTTGCTTTCTCATCCCCAGAACCTCACAAAGCCTGGTACCATTTTGGGTGTGCCGGCTGGCATGTGACTTCTGCTGATGCTACTCGTGTTTCTCGTCTGTGCAAGAGAAATTCTCACTCACAATTTACTTGTATTTTGCCCTACAGAGCAAGCACATACTTCCTAGGTCCACACAGTATGGCAGCAACAATGGGCTGATACTATCCTACTGTCGTGATCCAAAAGAGCCCAGGTGCCACAGAATAACTTCCTGCCTAAGACAGACAAGGCTCACCATTTTTCTACTTCACTATTTATCCCACCATCTCTGTAAAATCTATCAATAAAAATGTGCCAAATGATGTCCTCATCATGCTATTTTACTCCCAGGTACACTCCTTTCCTTCTGATCTCTAGCTCAGTGAAGTCACAAAACACACATTTCCCATGCTATGGATTTGGAGCCCATCATTATCATCTTAAAGACCAAACAACAGATTTTCAAAAGGTAAAGGAGAAAAGGATGCCCACGGTAATTAGGATGCACTTGGTAAGAACAGCACTGGAAAACTTAGGTGCCACAGAAAGGCCCTATGAGCTTTAACTTCTGCAGTGTTTACAATGGCAGACAGCTTCTGTTAGGGCAGAACAGATCTACTCTGCATGGCAGCCTCTGACTTACAGAGCTCCTACCAGGTACCAGGATTAGGCATTAGGAGAGGCACAAATGCCCTGGAAGTATTACAATCCTATTAGGAAATGAAGACTTGCAGGCGTCAATTAGAGATCAACACAAACATAAACTCAGTGGTAGAGACTCAAAACTTCGGCATTCATAGGACACCTTTATGCTCACAGGCTGAACAGATACAAAACAGAGAATTTTATAATCTAAAGACGTCTTAATATCAAAGTAAACCTTTAGTGAAGCAAATTTAAAAAAATAGGACGAGGGGCACTGGGTGGCTCAGTCGGCTGAGTGTCCAACTTCGGCTCAGGTCATATCTCACAGCTCCTGAGTTTGAGCCCCACATCGGGCTCCCTGCTTTCAGCCTGTCAGCACAGAGCCTGCTTCAGATCCTATCGCCCCCTCTCTGTCCCTCCCTGCTTGCACTCCCCCCCCCAAAAAGAACTAAGTTCTCTGATTTATAAATAAGGATTAATCAAATCCTGTGCTCATTAAAAAGTGCAGAATAAAGAATAAAATAGGACAAAGTTCAGGATATAACTTTAGGTGAACTGTCTTCTATCCTTAAAAATCAAGTCTTTGTTTCAAACTTTGAAATAGGCTTCTTAAAGCCAAATTCATAACTGAGACTGCATCCCTGATAATGTTCTAGAATTTATTCTTTAGCCCAAGATAGATGACTCACACTTGCCATAAGAAAAAAGGGAAAGTGGGGGGGTGCCTGGGTGGCTCAGTCAGTTAAGCGTCCGACTTCAGCTCAGTCATGATCTCATGGTTCGTGGGTTCAAGCCCCACGTCGGGCTCTGTGCTGACAGCCAGCTCAGAGCCCACAGCCTGTTTCAGATTCTGTATCTCCCTCTCTCTCTGACCCTCCCCTGCTCATACTGACTGTCTCTCCCTCAGAAATAAATAAAACATTCAAAAAAAAGAAAGAAAGAAAACATTAAAAAATATAACAAAAAAAGAAAAGAAAAAAGGTAAAGTGGGACTTTTTTGTGTGTTGCACCAATCTGGAATAGTTATTAAAGTTATGAGCAATAAAGTCACTTTCATTTTAGACAAATGTATTGTTACTTTTCACTGGGCTGGAGGAAAACAGAGCAACAAATTTCTTAAACTGAAGTGGCTGTGACTGATTTATAGAATTTCAGTCTACAGCATGTCAGTTACATACCTCGAACAGCATGTAGAGAACTAGCAATAGGAGCCCTTATACGTGGACTTGTACACACACCCTCAGTTTTTACGAAACAACAAGCTAGTTGACAGGACAGCGCATAAAGGATGTCCGGTGGCTGGCAAAGCCAGACCACCAGGTCCGCAGCGTTCTATGAGCCTCCCCGCTGCACCCACTCCACACAGCACGCAGTCTTACTTGTTTCATTTTCTCCAGTTCATCTTTGAGACGGAGGTTCTGCTGTTCCACAATATGAGTCTGTATTTTCACTTCAGAAAGTTCTGCCTCCAGAGAAGACACTAAAGTGGAGGACTAAGAAGAAAAATTAAAAAGTCAAATAGAGGACATACTCATTTAGCCAGGGGAGACTTCCTGGGTTCACACACAGCAGCATTAAGGAAACCCTAGCCCCAGATTCAATGACACACTCTTTTATGACCATTACATTCAGTGGAATGAACCAAAACTATCTTTTTTTTTTTTTTTTAAGTTTATTTTTACTTTGAGAGCGAGCGAGCGAGCACGAGTTGGGTCGGGGCGGAAGGAGAGGGAGAGAGAGACAATAGCAGACTCTGCACTGTCAGTACAGAGCCCGATGCGAGGCTTGAACCCACAAACCGTGAAATCACAACCTGAGCTGAAACATAGAGTTGGATGCTCAACTGATTGAGCCTCCCAGGTGCCCCCTGAAACTATCTCCTGAAAGACTGTCCACCCCAACGTCACAAACATGATTTCTCAGATAGTTTTTGCAGGTTTCTCCACTGCAAAGCTACTTTCTCTGGGGGGAGATAGTTTGAGGCTATGAAAATCATGTTTCTCCTTAAACTTTTGTTTATTAATTTTAGTTTCTATCAGTGGATTTTGTCTACAGTAGGTGCTACTCTCATGTTTGCCTAATGATGACTTTCTATTTCCTTCTTTCACTCTACATTTATTAATCAGATTTCTACTATAAGGGAGAGCTGTTAATTCTCCTCCATTTAATCAATTTTTAATATCAGTCTGTACCCATACCTACTTATTCTATATTTATTTTATGATTTATTATGATTATTTTGTTGGTCAAACTATTCCAGCTTTGGCCATGAGCTATTTTGTTGGTCAAACTATTCCAGCTTTGGCCATGAGCAGTTCTTTAGGTGGGAGTCTGTATCCTTTAAATATGCCCCATCTATTTTCTTTAAGCACTTTTTTCTTTCTGGCACCATGAGGTGTTCCAGACTCATCTGGAATTTTCCCTGCCCCAGCCCTAGAATCAATCATTTTTTCCAAAGAGCCCTAGTTTCTTTTATAAGAGAATAATATTTAGAAACCAAGATCTGGGCACTCCATGCATATACATACATCCATGTCTCTGTATCAGTCTATACATATATTAAGAAACGTGAGTTTATACTAATGCCTCAAATTCGAGTCTAACACCACAGGGTTCATTTTAGCCTTCCGCTACTTCCTCCTTGCAGTTTCCTTCTCCAACAGTGAGAACCTCAGTTCTGTTGCCTATAATCTATTTACTATTTGCTCAATTCTAATAGACAAAAAGTGGGTTCAGAATTACTGACTTATCCCCCATGAGAAACACATTCACTGGCTGGAGCATTTTAGCATTTGTGTATACTTCTTTCTTTCTTAAGCCCTACAGTATAGTCAAGATAATCATTTCCAATTTACTTCATTCTTTTCTTCCCCATCGTAGTTACGTTATCCACTTATGGTATAGTTAGGTTCATTTCTTAGTGTTTGTGTTCCAGGCTGGTGTCTCTCGCCATCCTGATTGGTTTTAACTGTGTGTTTATTTGGGGGTATGCGAAGAGTATGTAAAACACTGCTATGCTTCCAAGAGTCAGAGCCTGAAAAGATTTACTCAAGGAAGTGGTACTCCCATCCCTCATCCCTTCTACATTGTTCCCATTCCTCTTTTCCATCCCTTTCCCACCCACCCCCTATGGGTAACCATCTCTTTAGTTTCTGGTTTTCATTTTTGTATGTCTTTCACACAGATGAGCAAGTATAGGAGCATGTTTATTTTATACCATCCCTTTCTGTCTTACATGGACAGAGTCATCCTCTACTCTTTTGTGCTTCTCTTTTTCACTTACGAGTATGTCCTGGAAAGAATTTCATATCGGTAGACATCTTTCCCTTCTTCCCTTCCTTCCTTCTCTTCCTTCTTCCCTCTCTTTTTCCTCTCTTTTCTTTCTTTCCTTTTTTTATGGCTGCACAGTACTATCCCAAGGTGTGACCGTACCCACATTTCTCCAGCCACTCTCCTATATATGAACATTTAGATTGTCTCCAATATTTTGCAGTTACAAACAATGCTATAATGAATAACTCTGTGTATATGAGTATTCACACTGTTGGAGGTGTACCTTTAGGATAAATCCCTAGAAATGGGATTGCTGGGCCAAGTGGTAAGCACATAGGTAATTTTGTTAAGTATTAGCAAATTTCCCTCCAGAAGGATGATATCAGTTTACACCCCCAGCAACATACAAAAGTGCCTGCTTTCCCCAGAGTCTTGTCAACAGAAAGTCATATTTTAAAATCGTTTCCAATCTCATAGCTGAGAAAAGATATTTCAGTATCGTTTTATTTGCATTTTTATAATTATGATTGTGAGTTTTTCCATGGGCTTCAGGGTCATTTTATCTTTTTATTGAGATTTATTCATGTCTTTTTCCCAGTTTGCTATCAGATTTTGGTCCTAAATCCTTGATTTTTAAATGTTCTTTACACAGTAGGGATATTAGCCCTACTTTCTGTGGTATGTGATATAAATATTTTTTCCCAGTTTGTGAAATGTCTTTTGACTTTGTCTATAGTAGTTTTTCTCTGCCACAAAAAAAATTTTTATCTAATCATTTCTTTTTTGGCCTCTGGTTTATGAGTCATAGTTAGTTTTTCTCCACACTAACATTAAAGAGAAATTGGCCCATGGTTTTCTTCTAGTACTTATGTAGTTTTTCTTCTACTACTTATGTAGTTTTCTTTCTTATATTTAGGCCCCTAATCCAATTAGACTTTATTCATATGTACTGTTTAAGATATGATTTTTTTTTTTTTTAAGAGAGCATGCAGAAGGGGGGCAGGGAGAGAGAGACAGAGAGAGAATCCTAAGCAGGCTCCACACCCGGCACAGAGGCCAAGGCAGGGCTCAATTCTCATGATCCTGAGATCGTGATCTGAGCCAAAATTAAGAGCCAGATACTCAACTGACTGAGCCACGCAAGCACCCCATATGGATCTAATTTTATCTGTTTCCAAATGTCTGGGTTGTCCAGGCACCACTTATTTAAGAAATCCATCTTTCCCCCAGTGATTTGTTATATACTACATTTCCACATGTATTTGAGTCTAATTCTAGACTTTCTGTTCCACTTCTCTATCTGTCTATTCATTTGCTGGTACTATATTGTTTTAATTATTAAGACTTTATGTATAAGAAATTGAATATAAGCATTGTTTTATGCTTTGGGACTTGCTCCCAAAAGGCTGTAGGGTGGCTACATTCCATACCTGCACTTTACATTGTTCCAGTTCTTCCTTCAGATTAGACTGTTCTTGTTTCCATTCCTCCAGTGTACTGCATCCTGGCTCTTCATCCTTCTGGCATAGCATTTCTGCCAGACGTTGATTAAGTTCTTGCAGGTCTTTCTCATTCTGAGAGTTCTTTTGGCTAAGTTCAGCATTTTCCAAATCCAATTGTTGGTTTTGGGTTTTTAATTCTGAAACCTAATGAAAATTGAAAGGAATTTTAAAAACTAGTTACCCTAATTCTACTAAAAAACAGATTTAGAGACTGGTTTTGTTCTCTATGTCGATAAAGTTTTATACATACATATGTACACAAACATACCCTTAATAACAGAATTTAATCTATTATTCATTATTACAAATTCCATCACTTGGGAAGTGTTTGAAGAAGTGACAGACCCTCCATACAGTCTAACTCCACGGGGGTAGCCATTGTTCAGAGCTGGGTACATATCTCTCCAGACTGTTTTCTATGTATATACAAAACTCATATGTACATGGAGGTTTTCTCCTTCTTATCACAAAAATTTGAATCATTTCAGATGTTTGGGCAACCTGTTTTTTCCACTTACAATATCTCACAGACTTTTATCTTCCCAAGACAGTGCATTCAGAAACCACAACAAGCTATATTTTTTAGTGGCTCTAGCCTCTATTCGAGGTGTCAAAACATTCCATAATGTATTTATCCATTCTCACACTGACACACAAGTTTGTTATCATTCTTTTAATTATGAAGAAAAAAAACAATCTTTTGAAAAAATCATTTACAGAGGGTACCATTTTGGATTTCGGATCATCTTCTTAAAAGCGGGGCTGCTGAGTTAGAAGGTATATACCTATATTACTGGTTTGATAGATATTCCCAAAATGTCTTCCTCGTGCTACCACCTTATAGTCCTATAGAAAATGTATGAGTACCTTCATACCCTTACCCCTTTTTTACAGACTGGGTGGTATTTTCAGTTTTTGCTCATCTGAAAGATGAGAAAAGAATTTGCACTTCCCTAATAAGGTTAATTATCTTTTTCTATATTTTATTTCTCCCCTTTACTTGACCACTCCTACCAATTACCTGTTTTTCCAACTGAGTTTTGCCCTTTATTTGTGAGAGCACAGAATATATTTTGGATATTGAGACCTTGTCTGTTTCTAGGACTGAAAATGCTCTTTTCCCAGGATGTCCTGGTCTTTTGGCCGTTTCAGATAGATTCTTAAATGGCCCTGTCCTGCACAACTGCATGTCATGAGACTACAAAATTGGGCACTGGAATGGCACAGGCTATCTGCATCAATTCTACTCCTATGAAAAGATATATACACTCTTACTCTTTACCTGTGAAATTCTGTCCTTAACTTTCCGGTTTCAATCATGGTGATGAAAGAGGAAGGTGCTAACATTAATTGAAAGAATGTGAGGGACAGGGTTAGTATTTCATGAATTTGGTTTTAGAGCTCATATCGTCTCCCCATTCCCACTGATTATAAAATTTGTATTAAATACTCATAATCTAGAAATAACATATATGTTATCATATTCACAAAAAAATAGAAGCCTAGTTTAGAGTCCGCATGGGGTGAGTTTCCATTCTGAAACCCAGGTTTCACAACTTTATCACCATTAGCTACATGTCATTTATAGTAGTATGTCCTATAAATTTATAAATTGCAAATAAAAAAAGAAAATTTCAGAATCAAGGGACACTGGGAAATACCAAGTATCTCCTTACCTGTTTCTTTAGGTTTTCAACCATCTTCTGAACTGCAGCTTTTTCCTGTTTTACAGTTTCTATTTTCTGCCTAAAGGGACAGTGAAAATATAAGAGTTAGGCTTTAAATGCTGAAGTAAAACAGTTTTAGTCCTTGCAAAAATGCCCTAAGAAAATTTAAGTATAATGTCTTACCACATTTCTTCCTGAGATCCATTTAATTTCCCTAATTTCAGGTTACAAATGCTATCTTCTTCATTTAAAGTAGTAATTTCACTTCTCAAAATAGAATTTTCTTCTTGAAGCTTCTCAGATTCACATCTGAATCACAGAGATTTAAAAATACCGTTATAACAAGGCAGTCGTGGCATCTTTGAAAAATGCTTTCTAGGAACTTCCAATGAAACAAGTATTCCATGCCAGTTAAAAAGAGAAGTCTAAATTAGTACACTTTTAGTACTGGAAATCAAGCTCTGACATACTGACTCTTTTCTTTTGGGAAGATGAGAATGTCACCAGAAGCCATTAGGGAAGCGTGGCTGAAACACTGGCGCGCAGGCAGAGATGGGAGCCGAGACTCTGCCCGCTATGGTTGCTGGTTTTCTCGGTGGCAATCATACTGCTTTGGGCTAATAGCTTCCATTTATCTCAGGCTCAAGTCCTACCTGCTCTATAGAGGCATGGGCCCTATTGCTAAGCTGTATTAGCTTTCGTTACAGACCTCAGGGCACCTACAAAAAGAAAATTCACTACGTAACTAAAAGAAATACGTACGCTCAGGTTAACTTTGTGATTTTTTCAACTCATTATATTCGGATTTTTAGAACTAAAAATGGTCTGAAGAAGTGGAAAAACTATATCTGGAATTCAGTTCTTTTGTTTCCTATCATTAAGGTATTTCAGAAACATGATGTAATATTTTCCAAGTCTTTGAAAACCAAATTTGCTAGAAGACTATTGCAATCATGTTATATAAAATCAATTGAGTGGTGTTTCGCATGAGTTTCATTTCTGTCTTAATTTCAAGCACATTTATTAGAATTTGATAGCTCTTCAACAGAACAATATGTTCTAAGATAAATTTCCATTGGTTATACAGTATCAGCCTGTGCCTCGAGTGATAGATGTGAAGAACTACAAGCCACAAAGCATGGCATTTTTCCTATATTAGTATAAGAGTTCTCTTCTATCAAGTGAGTTAATCATAAACAAAAGGCATTCTCATAGAACATGTTCCAGCAAATGAGGAGAACAACTAACATTTAGCCAAAACAAAACCAAACAAACTACCAACCCAAATGAAATGCCAGAAAAGAGTTAAAGACTTGACACACATTGAGGATGCACATGGTTAAACAGCAAACACGCTCCGTTAAGACACCCCAAACGAATGACATTTATTTCCTATAGAGGGGGAGGGGATGCCTCCTAGGCAGGGTTATTCTATTTGTTAATACAACACAGAAGCAGAAGGAAGTCTACGGTACTGCTCTTTTCTTGAAGACTAACAGGTTAGTTTCTCTAGGCACAGCAAGTGGCGGAAGTTAGATTTGGTGAGGTGCTCTTGGGGTTCCGTGAAGTTCAGAAGGTACATACGTTACCTCAGAAGTTCAACTTTCTGTTGCATCTCACTGCATGTGATTTGCAAGTCATGCATCATTGCCTTTAGTTCCTCTTCGTTTTCTCCTTGAGAAGGTCCATCTTTTTGCTTAACTAAAGTAGTGACTCTCTCCCTCAGCTTTCTTGTCAGCTCCTGCAGCTTCTTCTTCTCCAGTTCCAACTCTGCTATGGTGGCCTGACGCTGAAGGTGTCTGTCTTGAAGGCCCAGCAGAGCGATGTCTTCCTCCAGTAGAACTTGGTTCTGTACTCTGGGCTTCTCTCGACGTGTCCGGATTGTTCTGTGAAGCCAGGAAATTTCACTTGCTTTTACTTCTCCCACGAGCTGTGCGTTCTCCTGCTCGAGGTACTGGTTTTCTTGATAATGTTCTTCTAGAATATGGTGGACATTCATCACTGTGGGTACATGCTCTTCCTGTGCCTGATGTCGTCCGGGCACCTTCTCTTCAGGTTGGACTTCCAGGCTATCTAAATGGGCTTCCCATAAGGAGAAGCAGTCACAGCGCAGCACCGCTCTTTCCTGGAGCCTCTCAATCTTGCCTTGAAGTCTCAAAACCAGAACATGCAGTTCCTCGTTTTCTCTCTTGACCTCATCGTAACTCTTTTCCAGGCTGAGGAAGGTCTCGGTCACCTCTTCAACTTTCTTTAGCTCATCCTGCAATTTGAAAACTTCTGAAGTGAGATCTTTGTTATGTTCTAGTGCTTCGTCATAGCGCACCTCCATCACTCTCAGCTCTTCCTGAAGACAGTCATTTTCTCTGCTGGCATCTTCATACAACAATTTATATTTGGGGGAAGCCTCAGGGATTCTCTCAAGCATCTTCAGTTTCTTTTTTAGCACAGAAACGTCAAAAAGTAGGTCCTGTTTCTTTTCAGAAGCCCGACTGCAGTCTGCACGCAAGATCATCAGCTGTTCCTGAAGCTGACGAATCTGATTCTTCAGGTCCCAGGTCTCGGTCCTGGTCTCTTCACTGTTCTCGAGCTCGGAAAAACTCTCTATTGATGCTTCAGACTCCTCTGTTTTGACTTCCTGTCTCTGAGCTGAGCTCGTCCCTGTGCTTCCCAGATCCCGGGCCTCGTCGTCTTGTAGGTCACTTAGGGCGTGCTGTGTGGCTACACCTTCTACTTGCTTCATTTGACTCTGCAGTAAAAATGGCTCTGTCGGTTCCACAGAACTTCCAAATAATCCCGTAGCTGGCTCGTCTAAACAAGAAGACATTACTGACCCCGGCTCTAATTTTTGTAACTTCTGCTGCAGTCTTGAAATTTCAGTGGCCATTTTCACATTTTCCTTCACTGCTCGCTCGTGAGCTCTCTGCAGGCTCAAGAGGACATCTCCATTCTCTTCCAACAACTGCTTTCCTTGCTGGAGCAGGGACATGGCTCCACTGCGTTCTGCGTCCTCCCCGCCCACTGCCTGGCAGCCACTCTCTGTCCTGGAGAGAGGAGATACCACCTGCTGCATTTCTTTGATTTTATTCTGCAGCCTAGAGATTTCTGTGCTCATCTCGGCCCTCTCCTGATCCGCTTTCTCACAGGTCACCCTGTGGACACTTTCCATGGCCTGAAGCCTGGACATCATTTCCTGCCTCTCCCGGTCGTGTTCCGTTTGCAGCTTCTCAAGCTGCTGGCTGGCGGCCTGCCGCCCTGAGGCGCCTGCCTGGCACGGGACCTGCTCCCGGTCCCTTGGCGCTCCTTCACCACCGCTCTTCAGCTCAAGTGTCTGGTCAGACAGCAGGCTCTGCTGACTTTCGGACACGTTTCTTAGATCTTCCAGGTCTCTGAGCAGCTGCTCTCTTTCAACGACCATACTACTCAAATGTTCTTTGTACGTTTTCTCCAGCATCTCTCTCTCCTGGCTCAGCACCAGGGAAGTTGCTCTCTCTCTTTGGAGCGTCTCTTTGAGCTGCTCCTGGGCTTCGGCACACTCCTGGGTGAGCTCGTCCTTCTCAAACTCCCACTGGGACCTCTCCTCCAGCTGCTGTTCCAGGAGCTCCTTCAGCTCTTGGCGGTAGCGCGCCTCCAGGCTTCGCAGGGCGCTCTCACACCGCTCGGTGACCTTCTGACAATCAGCCTGAGACTGGGCTTCTATCTGAGAGGTTCTTCTATTACACTCAGTTTCCATTTTTTCCCTAAATGTAGTCAACATACAGCATTACTGAAACTGCCACCGACTCCAGAAGCAAACAAAACACATTTTCCCGCGCAAAGAAGACACTAACAAGCAGACAATCTAAACCCTTTCTATAAAAACGGTCTTTACGTCTTCCTGTGTAATTGATTTATACAGAGGGTCTCATTTCTGAGAGCGGAGACTGGCAGCCATAATGAACTTAAAAGACTTACCTCTCTCTGTGTTTAGAGGGAAAATCTAGAAACCGCCTTCTTTGGCATCCTCCTGGATGTGTTTATGGATTTTTAACCAAAAATATAAACTGATATTTCACATTCACGATCAAATGCATATTAACCTAACCCTAATTCGGGAAGTATACAAAATTCCTTCATTTTAATTAAGTATACATTGGAGAGTAGTAGTCCTGTACACCATACATATTAATATATTCATTACGTTTTTCCTTATTTAATAAAACAGCACTAAAATAATCAGGGTATGAAGCCTCAAAGCCCTCACATGTACCTGTGATTTCATGTGGGGAAGGTAAGCACAAAGCTGCACTTCATTCTTTGAGTTCTTCATTATAGAACTTTACCCAGAATTTAGCTCACAGATAGCCTTTCTCAGAACACACTAATTATTCTCATCTGGAACCTGAAAGGATAGTCGTTGAAACGAGAAGTACTATCTTTTGGGGCGCCTGGGTGGCTCAGTTGGCTAAACATCCAACTTCAGCTCAGGTTCTCACAGTTCATGGGTTTGAGTCCCGTGCCAGGCTCTGTGCTGACAGTTCAGAGCCTGGAGCCCGCTTTGGATTTGGCGTCTCTCTCTCTCTCTGTCCATCCCCCGCTCATGCTCTCTCAAAAATAAACAAACATTAAGAAATACTATCTTAAGGAAAAATCCATTTCAATAACCCCAGGGTAGGCTTACATCTAAACAATGGCAAAATAGGTTGAGAAACTAAGGCATTTAGTCAAAGTCTCCTTAACTGACTGGAACTTCTGGTGCCCCCAAGGGACAGTGTTTTGGCTTCTCCATTTCCCCTATTTTCTTACCTTCCCTCTTGAAGTTCCCTTTGGTGCTTTTCCAAGAGCTCTTTCCGCAACTCCTCCTTCTCGAGAGCGTGCTTCTCCATCAGGCTTTGCAGCTGCTCCTGGTGAAGCTGCTCAAGCTCCTGAGTCAGGCCTCTCACCTTCTCTTCCGTCCAGGCGCCGTTCCGAAGGAGCCCTTCCCTCTCGCGGTGGAAGCTCTCCTCGGCCTGCTGCAGGCGGGCCTCGAGCTCCACCCCGTGCTCCAGCCTCAGCTCCTCCCGCAGGCGAGCCTTCTCCTCATCCCACCTCATCTGCAGCTCGCTCTTCTCCTCCTCGTGTCTGCAGACGGCTGTATGCTGGGCCTCCTTGAGCACCGCTGCCTGGCCCCGAAGTTCCGCAATTTCGTTTTTAAGGTCATTTATTTGTTCTCCCAAGATGTGCGCCTCATTCTCGTACTTTTGCTTTGTGCTCTCTTGCTCCTTTTCCCAGGCGACCTTGGTCTCATCCAGCTGTTTTTCATAATGGTGCACCTGAAGTCGGAAAGCGAAACCACCTCAATGTTACTCGACTCAAGGCCATGGGAAGGCGGGGGGGGGGGGGGGGGGGGGGGGGGGGGGGGGGGTGGGCAGTAACTACTTCTCTCCCATGTGGACGTTCCTCAGTTTTCCCACTTTAACAGCTCGAAAACATGTTAAATGAGATATGATTGAGTCAGGCATAGTTTCTTTTCCTTTGTAACTCGGTTGAATTTTATTAGTTTCTGAACAACTCTGATAAAAATGACTAGACTTTCACATAGATACATTGGTCTTCCCAGGCGTCCTGTCCAACTGTAAATGTAGGGATTTAAAATATTTAAATTCAAACATTGATCAGACACCTATCATAGGCACTCGGTGGCCTTGTGGGGACACAGAGTCGGGTGTGATATAGTCCTGCCATCGAGGAGAAACCGCTCTGGACACGGGTTTGTCGAGTGCAAACAAGTATGCTACAGGGCAGAATGAAACACATAAAAGGTATAGAAAAGAGAGCTACCGTGTAACCTAGAGAGAGATTCAAAGAGGAAAAGATCACATTTGGCCAAGGGCATTCAGGAATGGGCTCGTGCTAGATGTAGCATTGGATCTGAACTCTGAAGGGTAAGCAGACTTTCAAGAGGGAGAGAGGAGTAACACAGCAGGTGCCAGCATGAACGAGAGAGGCCACTTTGATGAAGAACTGCGAACTACTGGCTTGGCTGGAGGAGAAGGTAACAAAGAAGACTAGATATATAAGCTGAAGCACTGTGGTGGAGGGTTTTGGAGGCCAAGCTTCAGAAGTTGTACTTACTGCTATATCAAAGGGCTTTCTTTGGTCTTATTAAGATGTTTTTCAACAAGTTAGAAATAATGCATTGGCCTTCAAGTTCCATGCTTGCTAGGGCTGAAGATAATACATTTTGGCAAAAGTCTCTCCTAGGAGGAAAGGCCTCATGCTCAGCCTACGGAAGAAACCATCCTGAGGAAGGGGGTTTTGGTAGCCACCAGAAACAACAGGAAATGTATAAACTGTGATGCTCTATAAGGCGCCGGAGTGGCCTAGGCGGTTAGGCATCCAACTGCAGCTCAGGTCATGCTCTCATGGTTCATGGGTTTGAGCCCCACATCGGGCTCTGTGCTGACAGCTCAGAGCCTGGAGCCTGCTTAAGATTCTGTGTCTCCCTCTCTGTGTGTCTCTCCCCTGCTTGTGCACACTCCTGCTTGCTCGTTCTCTCCCTGTCTCTAAAAAATAAATACACATTAAAAAGAATTTTTTTTAAGTGATGCTCTATGAGTAAAAAGAATTAAGAATGTTCTATAAGCCAAAGCTTGCCAGAGGTCAAAGAAATGAGAGAACAGGACAAGGACTTACTTTCTCTTCAAGCTCCAGTCTTAAGCGACATAAGTCCCTGTGATGTTGCTCTTTCATTTGCTCAATGACCAGCTCTGCCTCGATGCTCATAGTCAATGGATTGCATTCTTCAGAACCAAGCCCTGAAAACACACGGGACCCGGTGAGCCTGTGGCAGGCTCTTTCAGTAACACAACTGGCCTCTGAGGAGGGAACGTCCAGTTAAAGAAATACATTTCAGCCTCAGTTACCGCTGATGGGATCTACTAGGAAACCAGAGAAGCCAAGAGGTGGCTTGCATTAAGGAAAACAAGAGAAAAATGATGGTGAACAGGCAATACAGTAAGATTCTTTTATGTACAGACTCTGTACCAAACCTTAATAGAATCCATCTTTTTGAAGGGTAGGTGGGGGCAGGCGTGGAAATTGTGGTTTAAAGGTGACCTTCTAAAATGAAAATGCTGGGGAGTAAGGGAGTTTGATTAGATCAATCAGCTTTCTATCCAACAAATACTATGTGACAAATCAGCAGAGAGGCAATGTGGCAGAAGGTGCCGGGGGGGCGCTAACTTCATGGGTCAAGAGGGCGAACCCACAATATTAATTTCCTACAGTGCAAGTGGAAACCCATTTTAAATTATCAGCTAAAATTTTAAAAATAGGTTAGGAACCTGGATATAGGCAGTTTGGGAGGAAAATTCTCATGTCATTCATAGGAGTTCACTTCTGCAACTGTCCATGATGACGACGGACACCGAAATGTGAAGCATAAATTGGAGACTGAGCTCATACATGGACAAAATCATTATGTCTAATACTATGTGGGAATCTCCTAAGGCAGGGGATTCAAAAAAAGTTTTTCACGTGGGTTCACAGGCAGATATGAGAAAGGGCACGTCTAGCATTTGAGATTGAGTCTTGCCCTGAGCTTTCTTTTCACATATTCTTTCTTTTCCCGTTGGTATATCCCCACCGGAGAAGTGATGGGTGCAAACCACCCCAGGATGGAACAGCTTCACATATCCATGAGGAGAACCCCCCACACTATCGGGAAAGTCCAGAGAAGCTTCTGAGATGCATCATACCATCAGCTGGGTTCCATCCTTACACTACAGTAAGGCTACTGACCACATACTTAGAATCACAAGAAAGGTCTTAAGCCTTCTCTCCGTCCCCTCCCAAATCCCTTATTTATTCTAGAATGAATAGCTAATGAGAGGAATAAATAATCCTTGTAAGAACCTGTACTCCGTTAGCAGTAGGGAAGACTAGAACAGAAGAATTTATTATGAGTTTGTGAAATTCAAACCCAACACACTGAGGAAAGAGGCAGAAGGCCAGGAGGAAGGAAAAGAGCTGATGAGAAATGCAGCAGCGTTCCCAAACGCTGCCTTCCAACTTTCCCACTCCAGGTCCTCCTCAAAGGCACAGGCAACCAACACTTATTTAACTTATTTGTGGTTCTACAGAGGCAATGCTGGTTTTAATACGGCCAGTGTAAGCAAACCAAATTCTGGTTTCTGGTTGGCCTATTCTCCAAAATGATCATCATACCAGTTAGGCACTCCTTAAGAAAGGGAGGATTCGGCAATAGTTCAGTGTCTGAATGTTAACATTCCCAAGCCCTGGATTCTCAGACTTGTGCCAGGTTTGTTTGTTTGTTTGTTTTAAACAAAGCAAATATCCTTGTGATTTGAGTTTTCCATTCCTTTGTTGATATGTATAAAAATCAGAAAGAAATATTCTCATAAAGACTTTAAGGATAAATGAAAAAAACAGACCACAAGTGAAATAGCTCAAGAAAATAGTACTGCCCAGGTTTTTAAAAAAATTTTGTTAGTTGCCAAAGTTGTGCAATTTTACATTCAGCCATGGCCATAAAAGCAAAAGCCAAAGGCAGAGCCTCTGGAAAGATGATGTCTGAATGGCTTACCCTGATCAGGCTCAATGCAACCACTGTTAACCTCAAGTTCTTCGGACAGTGAGTTCTTCAAGGGAAGTCTCAACACTTTGCCTTGCGTACGAAATTCCTCCAGCTCAGACTGGAGTTCATCCACTTGGTCTTGTAATACCTGGAGTTTAAAAACCAACACAAGTCTTTTTTTTTCTTTTTTAGTTTTTTGTTTATTTATTTTAAAGTTTATTTTTCAAAGAGAGGGAGGGGGACAGATGATCCCAAGCTGAGAGCAGAAAGCCTGATACAGGGCTCAATCCCATGAATCATGAGATCATGACTTGAGCCAAAGTTGGACGCTTAACCGACCAACCCACCCAGGCACCCCAGTTTGTTTATTCATTTTGAGAGACAGACAGAGCACGAACAGGGGAGGAGCAGACAGAAAGAGAGGGAGAGAGAATCCCAAGTAGGGCTGTCAGTGCACAGCCCAATGCAGGGCTTAATCTCATGAACTGTAAGATCATGACCTGAGCCAAAATCAAGAGTCGGACACTTAACCGACTGAACCACCCTGGTGCTCCATAAAAATCAACGCAAGTCTAAAAATGACGGCAAAAGCACAAGCAACAAAAGAAAAAAACAGGTAAACTGGACATCACCAAACCAAAAACTTTTGTTTCAAAGGATATCATGGAAGTAAGAAGACAACCCACAGAATAGGAGAATAGCTTTTGCAAATTACATGGTCTGACAAGGGTCTTATAACTAGAATATACAAGGAACTATTACAACTCAATGATAAAAAGACAATCCATTTAAAAATTAGGCAAAATATCTGAATAGACCTTTCTTGAGAAAGAGATGCAGGGGTGCCTGGGTGGCTAGTGAGTTGGTTAAGTGTCCCACTCTTGACCGGTTTGGGTCATGATCTTGTGGCTCATGAGTTCAAGCCCTGCATGTGCTAACAGCACAGAACCTGCTTGGGATTCTCTCTCTCCCTGTCTCTGCCCCTACCCCATTCATGCTCTCTCTCTCTCTCAAAATAAATAAACTTTAAAAAAGAGAGATATGCCGATAAGCCCTTGAAGAGATACTCAAAATCAACAGTCATCAGGGAAATGTAAATAACACAGTGAGGTACCACTTCACAACCCCTAGGGATGGCTAAATTCCAAAAGACATAGCAAGAACAACTGTTGTCAAGGATGTACAGAAACTGGAACTCTCACATTGGTAGGAATGTAAAATGGTGCAAATTCCTTGGGAAAAGTTCGGCGGTTCCTCCAAAGGTTAAACATGCAGTGATATTATAACCCGGCAATTCCCCCCTGGGCATATACCAAAGAGAAATGAAAACATATCCACATAAAAACTTGTGCACAGATGTTCATAGCAGCATTATTCATAATAGACTAACCCTAATGTTCATCAACTAATGAACGGATAATTAAAATGCAGTATAGACATATAATGGAAGATAATGTAGCAATGAAAAGAAAAGAAGTACTGGGGTGCCTGGGTAGCTCAGTTGTGATTTCAGCTCAGGTCATAATCTTGCAGTTCAGGAGTTCAAGACCTGCATTGGGCTTTTCCCAGACAGTGCAGAGCCTGCTTGGGATTCTGTCTCCCTCTCTCTGCCCCTCCCCCGCTTGCTCGCGCGCTCTCTCTCTCTCTCTCTCTCAAAATAAATAAAATTTAAAAAAAGGAAGGGGAGGGGAGGAGAGAGGAAGGGACCACTGATACATGCTACAACATGGATGAACCTTGAAAATACTACGGGAAGTGAAGAAGTGAAGGAGGTCAGCCACAAAGGACCACATCGTGTATGATTCCATTTATATAAAGTTTATGAAGATTCCATTTATAAAGAATAGTCAAGTCTCCAGAGACAAAAGGTGGATGATTAGTTGCCTAGGGATAGACTACAGCTAAGAGGAGTGGGAGTTTCTTTCTGGGGTGATAAAAATGTCCTAAGATCGATTATGGTAGTGATTGTACAATTCTGTGAATATACTAAAAGATACAGAGTTGTACGCTCTAAATGGGTGAACGACATGGGTGAATGGTGTATAATCTGTTTAAGAATATAACTGAATGGATTTGGGGAATTTTGGGGAGGTAGAGATGACAGATTTTACTAATGAAATCATAACTTTTAAGAATTATAAGGAAAACACCTCTACTTGATTAGAGACAGCCAAAACTTAATTGTAAAATTAGCATTAATGTTTTGTCTCTTTTCTCAAAATGTGCACATATATTTCCTGGGAAGGCAGGCTATGGGCAACCTCATAAGGAAGTGATTGTTTTCCTCATTTCTGTACAAACACAATTTTCAAGTAGTCAGAACTCAGTTATAATTACCTTGTTAAAATCAAGTTATTGTGATTTAAGAAGAAAAAAAATCCCAAATTAGTTACAACTGAGAGTTAGTTACAAAAAAATCAAAGATGCCTATTATTTATAAAAATGTTTTTGTCTCTTCCGGTAGGAATTTGTTGTCTGTTTGTTTGAATTTTGTTTTTTAATGTTTATTTATTTCTGAGAGATGGAGAGAGACAGAGCATGAGTGGAGGTGGGGCACAGAGAAAGAGAGGGAGACACAGAATCCAAAGCAGGCTCCAGGCTCTGAGATGTCAGCACAGAGCCCAACACAGGGCTTGAGCCCACAGACCATGAGATCATGACCTAAGCCACAGTTGAACCACCCAGGTGCCCTACTTCTGGTAGGAATTTGTAATTATTTAGTAGCTAAAGCCCTGAGTGATTTTTGCTGCTTCTGCATTTTGTAAATAAAATAAGGTATTCAGGGGAAAAACACATACACACAGGACAAAAACAAATTACATCAGATTAGGTCTGCAGTGTTTGATTAAGAAAGGCTCATTTTAGGGGCATCTGGGTAGCTCAGTCAGGTGAGCATCTGACTTCAGCTCAGGTCACAATCTCGCAATTTGTGAATTCGAGCCCCATGCCCAGCTCTGTGCTGACAGCTTGGAGCCTGGAGCCTGCTTTGGATTCTCTGTCTCCCCCAACCCCTTTCTCTCTGCCCTTCTCTCTCAAAAATGTTAAAAAAACATTAAAAAAATTTAAGAAAGGCTCATTTCAGGAGCACCTGGGTAGCTCAGTTGATTAAGTGTCTGACTTCGGGTCAGGTCATGATCTCATGGTTCTTTGGTTCCAGCCCTGCGTCCAGCCCAGAGCCTGGAGCCTGCTTCAGATTCTGTATCTGTCTCTCTCTCACTCTCAAAAATAAATAAATAAACATTAAAAAAAAAAGAAAGGCTCATTTTGGAATAAGCATGTGAACATGACCATGTATTTCTCTACTTGGACTAAAACTTTATTCTCCCCTAAGAACCAGCAATCTCTGACGTGGATAAAACAAATTTAAATGCAGGTTGTATGAGTCCCTAATATTCTGGGTACTAAATAACAACAGCTAACATTTGGATTAAATGCTTACTATGTTCCAGGCTCTGTTCTAAATAATTTACGTATATTCACTCATTGATTCTTCACAACCTCCTGAGTGAGTACTCTTATTTTTACCATCTTATAGATGAGGAACTGAGGAGCCCACAGATTACGTAACATTTTAATGGTCACTAGTAAATGGTGAAGTGGGATTTGAACCCGAGCCCTCCTCCACTTACTAATTTCTCTTTAGTCACTTACCCTGCACTGCTGCTCATATTCATTTCTCATCTGTGTCAGCCTCTCCTCTTGCAGGAAGAATTCAGCACTGCTAGGATCAAGGTCACCAAACTAGAAAAAGAAAAAGATACAGCTTTCATTTTCCCCAAGTGTCCTTCTTGGACCTTTAACCCACCAAAGGCCTCAGTTTCTGGTGTTCACCCAGAGTATGGTCTCTTGAGTATGAAAGGAATGTGACATTTAAGCATAACACTACCAACTGGATGATGGGAGAACATTCTAGAGTGATGTGTTCAACTAAGGCAGGGGTCATTTCTCAGTACTATGCAATGCTTCCCTTGTATCCAGTCTCTGAAATTAGATCCCTGCAAAACTGACGGCTTACGTTAGCCATCTAAAAACTTCTCTAAGAGAAACTGACTTGGTGGTATTGCTTCTGCTCTTCTGAGTAATCTACACTTTGGGCTGCATATCAGGAGATCAAATTCAAACAGATTTACCTTTTCTGCTAACACATTTTCCAAATTTCGCTGAAGTCTATTTGTCAGATTCTCATACTCTGCCAACTTCCCTGCATTTTCCAGAAGCTCATTTTCTAGACGATTGTTTTCCTAAAGCAATTTGGGGAAAGTAAATGGGTATAAATGAAAAATAAGCAAACCATTGTTTCGTATATTTCATTATATGAAGCATAAATTAGTGCTCTAGACTGAGAAAATTTGTTGATCTTGAAAGTTTCAGTAGATTACAGAACTCAACAGTAAATATAAAAAAATTGGTATTTATCTTACAACCCAAAAGTCTACCCCCTCTTTTTTGATCCTACAGAACTATGCTAATATGGTAGCCACTAGTAGCCTGAAGGTACTGAGGACTTGAAATATGCATAGAACAAATTGAGATGTACTCTAAGTGTATAAAATACTCAACAGATTTTAAAGACTTAGTGCAAAAATGTAAAATGGCTCAATAATAATTTTTGTATATTGATTATGCATCAAAGTAATGTTTTAGAGATACTAGAATAAATATAGTGATTCCAATTAAATTCACTTGGTTCTTTTTATGTGGCCATTTGAAAATCTGAGGTTAAATATACGGTTTGCATTGTATTTCTATCCAAAAGCACTGGAATGTAATATTTAATGATATGAAAAACATTCTCAACAGATTGTTACAACTGGTTGCAGGCTACATATCAGTTAGTAAAAAAGAACTCAGAGAAACTATCAAAAAATAGAATAACCAGGGGAGCCTGAGTGGCTCAGTCAGTTGATCACCCGCCACTCTTGATTTCAGCTCAGGTCATGATCTCATGTTCATGAGTTTGAGCCCTGTGTTGGGCTCTTCATGACAGTGTGGGGCCTGCTTGGGATTCTCTCTCTCCTCCCTCTCCCCCCCTTCCCCACTTATGCTCACTCTCTCTCTCTCTCAAAATAAATTTTAAAAAAGTAACTAAAATTAATTTCATTTATTAATGGTATAGTTTGGTTTATATTCACTTTACAATCTTATTTTGGCTTAATGATGTAAAACTCCACACATATAGGTTTTTCATAACTTGTATATTTAAATTATTATAACAACACCTCAACAGAAGTCCACAAAAGGTAGGGTTTTTTTTTTTGTATATATAATACTTGTGAGAGATCTACACCCACATTGGTTTAAAAAGATAAAACCACACAGACGTGCATTTTGACATATGTTCCGTTCCAGTGTTAAAGGCTGATTGGAAGAACATTACTTTCAAAGCATATTTTGCCAAAAGAACATAAAGCCAGTATATTTTTAATACATTCTAGTTCACACCCTCACACAGCAATATGGAATAAAAAAGAATATGCTTGAAGAGTTTTTTCCTTAAAAAAAGAAAAACACACACACACACACACACACCACTTTCTACCAAAATGCCAGTGCTAGAACTCTAAGCTTTCAAAGTATGTCTAAGTTTAGATGTCAAAACAGTAAGGAGCAATCTCTGTGGTGTATCAGGCCTGTGCTGGTGCTCTGGAAACTAACAAATCAGATTCCGTTACTGACCACAGGGAAAACACAATCTAGACAGCGGGGAGGGAGACAGATGTAGACACAATTATCTGTGATGCACGATCTTCTGGCAAGAAAAAAGGAAGCGTAATGGGACTGAAAGAGTCACGTGGCCTGCAGTGTTGGAGAAAGCAGGGAAGGAGCATAAAAGCTCACTGATAAGCTGCGAGAGTTGATGGCAGCGGAGGTGGGATTAAGGGGATGGCCCAGGGGGCTGTTGGCGGGACCTGAGGGTGGAAAAGTGTGAGGACAAGGCCCCTTCCAGGGGCTTTCAGCGCTACCACGATGTACTTTTACACAGGGTAACAGCATGCCCTTCGCTAACTTCTTTAGTGTTCTTTAGTAACGTAACTCTGGTGGCCATATGGAGGCTGAGTGGATGGAAGAGAAGATGCACAGAAGTCAGCTGAGAAATTTTAATGAATTCTGAGCCTGTTCCGAGGCTGTGGAAATGGAGAGGAAGCGGATAAATCTGAGAGACATTTCAGAGCACCAACAGGCCTCAGGCTGAGGACTTTAGCTTCTGTGACAGCACATGCTGATGACCTGGATTAAGGAGAAAATTCAGAAAAGGAGGCGATTTGATGGCTAGGGTAGGAGAGTTAGCCCAGTTTTTGATGTGTGGAGTTTCAGGAATAATAGTTAGTATCCTACGTGTACTTATTCCCTTCTAAACACTGCATGTGAAGCATCTCACTTAGTGCCCACATTAAATGTGCTATGAGGCAGATATCAAAATGGTGCCCATTTTGTACATTAGGAAACAGGTTCAGATAACGTGATCAGGTTTTCCGGTAAGCAGCAGTATCCAGAATGGAAGTAGCAGTCTGAGGCCACACACACACACACACACACACACACACCCCTTATCCCTAGATTACAGTGCACCGTATCAGAGTCCAATAAAGAGAAGGATTGTTTCCTCTACTGACACACGGGAAAAGAGGAGAGGATGTATAAGGCAAAAGACATATTTGGAAGCAAGGAAACAAAGCTGATGACCTCTGTGTGGCAGGGGCCAGGCCATCTGCTCAGAATCAGGGTGGGAGACAGGCAAGGGAGAAGGCATCAGGTGCCAAAGAGCCCAATGGCTCAGTACAACTACAAGGGTGAGAAGCACAAGATCTACTGACCGACACTGCGGGCCCACCAGGCGCCTGGACACTCCTGCAATCTAGATCCCAGCAGGAGCTCTGTCACGTCTGGGTCACGGCCCGGCAGGACAAATATACGGGAATCCTGGGACTGCGCCCTGTGCTGAGCTGCCCTCTTCCCAGAGCTGTAGTTTTCCACGTGGTGTCCCCAGCAAGACACAGAGCAGAGAACAAAGAGGATGACTACCTTTAAAGAGAGGGCGAGGCGGTCCCGGATGTAGTTCTCTTCTGTTTTTGCCTTTTCAATTTCCTGCTCAAGTTCCAAGCGCTGCTTGCCCACCTGTTGCAGGATCTGTTCTCTCTCCTTTCGGAGCTCATTCTTTAAGGCTGCTATTCGCTCCTTGTACTCTTCATCCAGTTTTCTGTGAGGAGGAGAGACCAACAAGCTGCCATTAAGACCCTCAGAGGTCCCTGTGCAGACCCACCAAAAACGGAAACACAGAGTCAGAGCGATGGGAAGCTTCTCGAGGAAGTATCTATTGGGTCCTGCTTTCCTTAAGGCTCGACCACACCTGCATCCCTCTAGCCAGCCAGGTGTGGCCAAGCAGGCAGGCAGGCTGAGCCCCACCGCCTTTGCCAGCGTGGTGGCAAAGAGGGGACTGACCCCACCAGTCCTACCTGAGGTTGTATTCATTGCGCCGCTCAATGGCCGCATGGTGATCATCCACCTCTGAAGCCATCAGAGACTTGAGCTTCTCAGCCTTGTCCAGATCTGACCGTAGCTTCTCTTTCTCTCTGACCACTTGATCAACTCGCTCCCTTGAATGAGAAGTAGACCAAGTTAAAGGGAAACTGTCTCTAAGCAACAAGTGGACCCAAAAAAGCTCTCCTCTGCTTTGCTTCAGTACAAAAACAAAACCAAGACAACCCAGACCCTCCCACAACAAACACTTTCACAGCCTACATGCAAATCTAAGCCATAACTTAATTTTCACAATGGTGAGATGATAGGAGATTAGCCCCATTTGCATACAGAATGTGTCACAGGTGTCTAAAGGACTTGCTGGGCAACCAGGAAAGGGAATGCGGCGGGTGGACCTTCCACGCAACTCACAGCAAATGCCGGATCTCAGCCTTAAAGCTGGCCAGAGCTGCCTGGTGAATGCCATTCTTGGTGACCAAAAGTTCATTTTCAAGAGCCAGTGTCAATTCTGTCAGGTTGACATTTCCATCAAGGCTGAAATCCAAGGCCTAGAAATCAGAACAAGTTCAAGAAAATTACAATTTCTGTCCTCTAAAGCAGAAGCTGTGAAAGGTGTACGAACCCAGAGAAGTGAATGTACAGTCAAGAAGTTGGAGGATCACCTTTCTTTAGTGATAGCTTAGGAACAACCTTCAATCGAAGTTCTCTCTAAGGAAACCATAACGTGCTTATGTGCACATTTAACAAAATCTCTCTGGCAATATAAATAAATACAGTAGTATAACTCTAATCTTTACCAACCAGACGTCAGTTAAGAGCACTCACTGCACTTGTCCATAGTTTAGGAGTTAGAAACATGGGAAGTGGTTAGCAAAAGACTCCTGATTAAAGGGGGTAAGAGAAGTTACCTCTTATTTCTGAGAGCGTGTGATTAGAAGAATCATTAAGGAGCAATCAAATCAAGTCAAATCAAATCAGCTTCAAAAGCACTGCAATTTTTCAACCCTTCCCCAATTTGTCCTCTCCCAGTTTAGCTGCCACACCTTCAGGATCTCCTGGCTGTTCTCAATGCCCTCTTCCTGCCAGGAGTCGAGTATTTTCTCCACTGATGCATAGCCCATCCCATCGTCCAGGCAGGAGAACACCCGAAAGCCAATGGTACTTGTCATTGCTGATGGGGTTGTGGTGCGTCGTCCACTCTCATCGAAGGACTGGGAGAAGACAGAGACTTGAGCAAGGTCAACCCTTTCAACCAGACACTGACCCAGACTGGTCAGTCCCGACCACAATGAGCAGAAGCCATGTCTAACACTACTTTAAAAAAAAAAAAGAAAGAAAGAGAGTCATGCAGCCCCTTTGATCTGTCTTTCCCAAGGGAGTCAAGAATGTAAAACGTATCAAAAACAGTTGCTCTGGTAGGGAGATCCTTTACATAGATGAGATGTGTCTTTACTTAACGCCAAGTTTCTTCTGACCCACAGCTAACATTAAAGGGCATAATTAGTGGCTCCCCACTCTGTAATTTATGATCATTTTTCAAACCCAACTTTTCCTTCCCAATGGTTTAGTCTTTCTTTTTCTTTTGCTTCTTTCTCCCTATTCTTCTTCTAACAACAGATTAATTCATTAGAAACTATTCAAGTGAGTTTTAACTTCTACTCACAAAGAAACCACTTCCTACTTATTTCTCACCTGCATGGAGAGGTGCCTTTTCAACTGTCTATATGGAGTAGATGCTGATGGTGTGAGGGATTTTCCATTTTTGAATAAGCCATAGAAAAAATCTTCTACGCTCATTGTACCATCAGGATCAAGATTATGGAAGACTTCCTCAAGCATCTAGAAAAGAACAACCACTTACTTTAAGTATTTCCCTCAAAATAACACAAGGCCCAAAGTACATTTGTGGCCAATAGAACCTGGCACCACTGTTGATCCCAGGGCTCCAGAAATATAACATGTACCTTTATTTTCATTTCGCTGAATTTATTTTCCTTTTCAGTAATATGTCCTTCCTCCTCCACAAGCTAAGTGTAAACAACCATTTTCATAACCTTAGCCAATTTAGCAATTAACTGTTTTCTCTTTTATGCACACTCTTAAAATGAGTAATCATTTTTATTTAAAAAACTTTTTTTTAACATTTATTTTTTGAGAGAGAGAGAGAGAGAGAGAGAAAGAGAGAGGCAGAGAAAGAGGGAGTCACAGAATCCAAAGCAGGTTCCAGGATCCGAGCTCTCAGCACAGAGTCCGACGTGGGGCTCAAACCCACGAACCATGAGCTCATGACCTGAGCCAAAGTCACGTAATCGACTGAGCCACCCAGGCACCCCGAAATGGGTAATGTTCAGTTTTGCTACACATTATTCTTATGGATTAAAAAATATAAAGATCTAGCTTCCCAGTGTTGTAACAATAGAAGTAAGTTTGGACAGTCATTAAACTATTATATCGTGGTGACTCAACATGATATTTTGCTTATACTGAATTTTTGAAATTGGTATGTTGGCACTGCAGAATTTGGTCTGGGACAGATTGCAATGATCTAAGAGTTTGTGTCTGAAACTCATGACTCGGGATTTAGAGCACTGCTTGGAAGAGGACTGCATGTTTTGGGGTTTGCTTTAACGCTTTCGCAGAGGAGAAATGAAGGTCAGATAAGAAGGATTTTAGGGGCGCTGGGTGGCTTAGTTGGTTAAGCGTCTGACTTTCGCTTAGGTCATGATCTCGCGGTTCGTGGGTTCGAGCCCCGCGTCGGGCTCTGTGCTGACAGCCAGCTCAGAGCCTGGAGCCTGTTTCAGTCTGTGACTCCCTCTCTCTCTGACCCTCCCCTGCTCACGCTGTCTCTCTCTCTCTCCTAGAAATAAATAAAAACATTAAAAAAAAAAAAAAAGAAGGATCTTGTGTGTGCCCAACAGAAGGGCCCCAAGAAATGTAGAGAGAAGGGAATTCTGTGCCCTCTAATGGTAATGAAGTAATCCTCCTCGTGTAACTGGGGAAGGAGAGGCTGGACTGTAGTCCCTTCTAGAGGCTTCCCTAGGAGACGGTTTGTTCCCTAGCACAGCAGAGGAGCATAAAAGATGGATGAAGCAGCATGAGTCACTGACATCACAAAATAGGGAGGAAAGGCAATGAGCTCTTTTTTCCTGGCAACTGGATTGCTCTTTCTTCTGGGGGCTCCAGTTTTTCTATACAGACACCCCTCCATTGTACAGAACCGAGGATCTTGTTAAAATGCAGACTCTGATACAGTTAAATCTGGGGTGTGGGGTCTGAGATTCTGAATCTCTAACAAGTTCTCAGGTGATGCCCATAGCGTAAGCAACACATTTAATCTGAAGGCATCTGAGTCTGCAATTGGGTCCATTCTAACAAAGGCCTCTTTGTAACACATTTTCAAATTTTGCATATCCATTTCATAAGTCTGGACTATTGCTAGGATTCATTATCTCATAAGTGTTGATTTTATTCTTTACGGAAGTGCTAGAGGCATTTCTTTTATCCCCAATGTTTCTGTCCAGTTCACATCCAATAGGAAACATCTGTCTCTATTTTTTTTTTTTTTTAATACCACTTCCTCTGGTGAGAACTCTGAAACAAGAAACCATTCTAAAGAGTGGAAATCTTTGGAAGAGGAACAGTTCCTAATAGAGAATTATATGGTAAAACCGATGGAAAGGTATTTGGGGTTAGATTTTGAGGTCACTAAGATCCGCCAGCAGTTCTGTCTCGGTCTTACCAACCACAAGAACAGTTTCTCAGAGGATTAGGCTCTCAGGATCATCAAACCAGAAGTCACAGTAACATCCAGGTGTGCTGACTGAAGTGAACAATCTTATTTCGGCTCCAACCTTAGCTTCACACTGCTTGGCCTTGTGACCCTGGCCAAATCAATGACCGGTTTCCAGACTGCCTAAAAACCCATCACCTCATCTATTCAACATTCAAAGCAGTGGAGCAGGTGAGTCCCGCATTATTGTACATGCAGGAGTGGACGAGTGGCCAATAGAAGACTGAGGAGTCAGAAAAAGGCAGGGCTGGGCTACACAGAACGCATGCCAAATGGGCAAGTGGGATACCCTGGCAGCCTGTGCCAGATCCAGAACCCTGAGGACATTCTTACTCTTGACACGCCAGCCAGGACTTTGGGTGGTTGTATACAATGGAACATAATGCACTAGAATGGGGATAACAAACCCGAATACCCAGAGAGGGCAGGAAGGTGATGTAAATGAACGAGGCAAGATGGTCTTGAGACATTACAAAGGAGTCCCATTTAAAGCAGGGAGCTGAACACACGAGCGCGTGCCCTGTCCAGGGGAGTTAGCCGGCCACTTCCCACGGCTAGCAGAATGGAGTCAAATATTCAGGGTTTTAGAAAAATCTCCCGAGTTAAGAAGTGTAGCAAGAGTTGAATTTCTAAACAGTGAGCAGACCAAAATAACAAAAACAACTCAAAACTTGGGGCCGTATTTGGCATGTAGGGGGACAGTGTGCCATCCCTGCCAAACAGCCATCCTTGCTTCTGGAAAGCAGAGTGCGTAAGACAGTGAGTCTCGTTCCCTTCATGGTAATGGCCATAAGCAGCAGTGACATCACTTTCTTTATCTATAAAATGAGGAGGTGACTAAACCTAAAATTGCTTTCAGTCATGAAATCCTATGATTCTAAGTTGAGTGTAGATGAGATCATCTTGAACTTTCAGCTGCTCTGTGGTCTAGAGCTAACAGTATAAGGTACTATAGTATTTCATGATTTTTTTTTTTTTTGGTGGAGGAGAAACATTAAGCAAAAGCTGTATTCAATGAGCAACCTTTTACTCACCCTTGGATCAGAGGAAAATAACTAAATATGCTACTTCGTTCCCTGGGTTTTAGAAATTCCACCACAGAAGAAAATGCAGTTCCCCACAAACAGCTACAGTTTATTCCAAGAATTGTTCTTGGATAAATAATCCAAGTTTGTGCAGTATTTTTTGGCAAAACACCCCAAGGTTCTGCATACTGCACTGGTTTATAATTTAGGTGGGTGAATTTAATGTTATGACTCAACAACGCTGAAAACTAAATGACCATGGAGCCATTACAAAGCTAGTCAACGGGTATATAACAGTCACATATACCACGGAGAAGGAGGGAAAAAATCTCCTCTGCAAATGAGGCTACTTGGTAGCTTTCGATGATAAATCTCTCTCTGGTTTAGGAAAATAATACCACTTTATCCCCTGAGCAAGCAAGCAGTATGGTTTCAAATACCATTCTAATCAACGATTCCCCAAACTACAATGGTAGCCCTAATCTCTGAGCCCCTCCGATTCTTATTTTCAGCTCTTTGAAAGACATGCCTTAAAATTATTTATATTCTTATGTTTCATGGCTGTTCAAGCACCCACTCCTGCCAGTTCCCTCTTAATTTTTCAGAAAACAAAGCTCAGAAGTTTAGCAAGCAACAGTCTTTTGCAGGGGGCGGGGCTCCTTCAAGATTCTTCTGTATACCTTCAAAACCACCAGCCCACCCTTTTCTATTTCCTCGTGACCAGAATATTGTGATGGCTCCTGGCCGGTCTCCTAGCCAAAGGCTGTCTGTACACCAATATACCCCAGAAAGCGGCTCAGCCCATCCTCAGTATCTAAGTTTTTCTTGTCCGTTACTCAATCTGCTGAAGAATGCAGGGCTGATACCAAGATCTTCTCTCCAAAAACCTAAACTCATCAGCCTGGCCTTGGAAATATTCTCCCAACTCAAATCTTCTGAACTCCCTGCGTAATCCTTCCTCCAGGTCTTTCTCACACGGTGTTCTGTGAATGCCACTTCTACAGATCTGTCTGACGTGGTGGCTCCACTGAGTTGGTTAGAGTCTAGTAATAATGTGGGGTAACATGCTTAGCACAGTGAGGGTCAGGTAGTATGGGCTCAGTGAGGGTTAGCTATTGTCAAGTTTGGTTTTTTTCCCACAACACAACACAAGCTTCTTAAAGAAGGACTCTTCCAGGCTCACCTCCTAGGGAAAAAAGAGAATGGAGTCTCTGTAACATGCTGCAGGAAGCCAACATATGGCCATTCCTAGCCTGTGGCCAGCTGAGAGTTCATCATGATGATTATTCCTGAATAAAGATACGATGCACGGCTCACCTCTCCATCGATATTCTGCAGGCCATACTGCTCACAGATGGAGACCAGCTTCTTTCGGTTCAGGTGACCATCACGGGTGAGCCCCAGATCTTCACAAACCTCCTGCAGTTTCTCTTCTATCCAGTCTTGGGGAGCAGAAGACCCACTTTGTGAAGCATTCAAGTCATCTGGGTTCCAAAATCTTAACTGGCCTGAAATAAAAACATATATCGTGCTGTTCCCAAAGGAACTGCAGAGAGAGAAAGCGAGTGAGAGCGAGAGAGCGCGCGCACGTGCGCAAGAGAGCAAGAGCCTATTCTCAAAGAAACCTGTGCTTTCTGAAAGTATTACAAGAAAGAGACTATAAATGCTGGGTCCACCTTGATTTGAGTCTGTAGTTCAAAGAAAATGGAATCACTGGTTCCTAGGCTGCAACAAGAGCGAACGGGAACGTTGTTCTGTGCCACGTAGCAAGTATCTTGTGTGCAGGCACACCAAGGCCCTAGGTCTGTTTTGTTCCAACTGAAAACATGCACAGGCTTTGATGTGACTGGAAGAGAAGGCTAGTTGAGAAGCATTCCAAGAAGATGTATAAGCCCTGCCTCAACTCTAGCTATCAGACTTTATTATCACCACTTTCCTTCAGGTCTAAGCACTAGAACTGCTTTCACTGAGAAGGAAAGGATTTCATAATAAATATCATAAAATACTTGTAAAAGTCTCAGGATTAGCTTGTTTACATATTTAAATATTCTGACCTACAAACAAACCAACCTGAAACAATAAATGGTTGTAAACTCCAAGTTGCTAATCATCTATACTTTAAGGACACATTTTATTTGAAGACGTAAGGATCAAACTCATTTAAAACTCAAAATTTACTTATCCTCTATTACAAGTTCTCGCTTCTGGTTAAATTTTCTGCTTACACATGAGAGATTTATAGTCATTACTTAATCATGAGATAATCAGAGGGACAATTTTGTGTGCCTGGAAGAGCCTTAAAAGGTTGAGAAGAGCATTTAGTGCCACCATTACTATTTACTGAAGAAATTAAGTTCATTACTGCTGTGTCTTTCCAGGTTAGAGACCTAGAGAACACACAGTAATTACACTTAAGGAGAGTACAGCCCAGGATGGTGTGAGGTGGGCTCACGTTCCGTCTGCTGAACCACAGTGCCATCTGCTGGCCGCAGAAGTTTAACATGTTTCGCAGCTACTTAAATACATCTGGAAGTTGACAACGGGTGTGTTTTAAAAGGTCACTATTTAGTTCAGGGCTGCTCAAAGATTAATTTGAAAGTTTGCATAAGAAAGCAATTAACTCATAAGTGAAATTCTTCATCTTAGTTGCCCTATCTTGTATGAAGTTAAAATGCTGGGATTTTAAAACTATGAACTTTCCCTTGGGAATGAATTTTTTTTGTTGTCACTGTTGTTAAGGTTACTTGTTAGCTGGCCTCCAGCATGCAAGGCTGTTGGGAAGAAGGCTAAGAGATGCAGGAAATGGGGATGTGAAGAGCGCCCTGGGAATGGCAGCCCTTCCTTTCCAGACAGGCTCCCCCACACAAACACACAGTTCCTACCTTCTGCTTCATACTCTTCACTGCGCTGTGTCTTCCAGTGCTAGAGAAGGCAAGAGAAAATTAGTGTGCTTTAGTAAATATTCAGTTTTTCCAAGAAAACCTCTGGAATCATCACCTGAGTAAGTCACATGATTCAGAACCTTTCGGGTGGGCTATCCTTAGTCAACCAGCCAATCAGAAAGAGACACCTAAGACATACCACAGAGCCACTAGGCATTTGCCTTTCCCGTCTGCAAATTCACTTATTCAACAGCAAAACCTATCACAGCTAATAAAACCAAGCCAAAGCAAATATTCAGAATCTATCAACCAACAAAAATTTATATGATGCATTTATGAACCTGTTCTTCAATGTGTAATGGGTGCCAAATATTATGATACATTTTCAGAATACAACTATTAACAGAAGAAACAAATTTCTTTCCTCAAGAAGTTTATACGCTAAGAAAACATGCAGACAGGAAAACGGAGTATAATATTGTAGTGTATTAAGTGCGATGGGCGCCTGGGTGGCTCAGTCAGTTAAGCGTCCAACCTCGACTCCAGTCAGGATCTCATGTCTCACGAGTTCAAGCCCTGCGTCAGGCTCTGCGCTGACAGTTTGGAGCCTGGAGCGTGCCTCAGATTCTGTGTCTCCCTCTCTCCTTCTGCCTCTCCCCCCACTTGCATTCTGTTTCTCTTGTCTCAAAAAATAAATAAGCACTCGGGGCGCCTGGGTGGCTCAGCTGGTTAAGCATCCGACTTCGGCTCAGGTCCTGATCTCACAGCTTGTGGGTTCAAGCCCCGCATTGGGCTCTGTGCTGACAGCTCAGAGCCTGGAGCCTGCTTTTGATTCTGTGTCTCCCTCTCTCTCTCTCTCTCTGCTCTTCTCCCACTCATGATCTCTCTCTCTCAAAAATAAATAAAACATTTAAAAAATTTTTTTAATTTATTTAAAAAAATAAGTATTAAAAAATTCATTAAAAAAATTAAAAAGCCTATAGAAAGTGTTATAATGGAGAAGTTCAAATGCTATGAGGGTACCTAAACAGGATCCTTCAGACTTAGGACATCTGAGTAGACTTCCTGAAAGAAGCAACATCTAAACTCAGACCTGAAGAAGGGTGAGCAAGAGACAGCTATGTGAAAAGAAAGGAGCAGCTACTATTTGCTGAAGCACAGAGGTAAGAATGAGCCTAGTATTTTTGTGGCACACTGAGGGAGAAGACAGAGATGCAACCCCAAACACGTGGCTAGAAAGCTCAAGTTAAAGAAAATATATGTTACCAGTAAATTGCATTAGAAGCAGTGAAATTTACCTGAAGTAGGCCGTTTTGCCCCTATTGTGCTATCTTACTATTGGGTCTTTTTCAAGTCACAGCATACATTTTTGTAGTCTGTGTACTGCATAAGGGCACCCAGCCAGGGCACAATCAGAACCAAACTCCGGCCCCTGCTCCACCAGCCAAGCGCAGCACAGGTCTGCTTCTGGTCAGCGGCAACAAGCAGGGCCATGGTGGCCCTGGGCCGGCCAGTGAGCTGCTGAATCACTCCTGCTGGGAGGTTCTACAACTATGGCAGGAAACCAACCCTGTTGAGAAAAGGCGTCTCCCCCTTTTGAAACCTGGCTGCTATCTCAGCAGAGATCCAACTTGATGAATGAAGCTGCGTTTGGTAACAAATATCAAGCCCTCTCTCTGTGATGGTTGGACTACACAAGATGATCTGATTTCTTGGAATCCTAAGTAAAGTCAGCAGGAAAATTAGCCTGATTAAATCCAGTCTCCAAGAGCTCGGGTCCCTATCGCAAATGGTGTGCCACCCAAAATTCTTAGGTTGAATGTTGTATTTCAATATCTCTTTCAAATTGACAAGAATGTAGGTCCTCTCTCAGGCAATCTAAGTACGTCTACTCTTTCCACCCCATACTCACTTATGCTGGGCCTCTCCACTTAAAGGACAATTGTCTACCAGGACTTCACAGTTCCATATTTTACTTGGAAAGACACTGAGGAGAGCACCAGAGTTTCCCCAGTTTTGCCACACTACACCAAAACTCCAGACTGACAATGATGAGGTGGATCATTCATGCCACGTGGAAGACCTCAAAAGGCCATAACTCACAATGTACATGTTCACTACAACTCATTCAGATTACAACTGAAAGTCACTAATATACATGGTAGTTATGGAAACATAATTAGGGGACAGTGTGATTTTTGCTTGTTCATTTGTGATTACAATTTTAACAGCCCACAGTTCCTGCCCTAAAGACATATTTCAAACCTAGTGGATATATGTGAAGCATGGAGGGGGTAGGGAAGGAGTGGTGGGGTAAAGAGCCCTCTGTAGATTTTCTTACATTATTGTTTCTGGGTGGAATTTTACTGTTTTCGTATAAAATGATTTAAATCAATCAAGATCCACTGAAAAATGCATCCTGCCTGTCCCAGTATATTTGTTTCCTTACCCACAGAGCAAAGATTTAAATTCTTATCCTAATACTACATAATTTCACATCCCCAAATTATGAAAATTCATTATTCAGCATATAATTTGGAAGCACTCTAAAATGGAATCCCTTAAATGTGTTTACAACAAATGAAATAGGTTTCTATGATCTAAGAACCATTGGTCAAAATAATACTAAATCACAAGCAGGGGAGGATTTTTAACAGCACAAACAGACAGGAAAAATAACAGGAGAATATGGATCACTGGACCCCATGAATAAAGGGAACCCCCACTGGGACACACAGATGGAAAAATGCAAAAATTCACTAGAGAATTTGAATGGCAGCTTTGAAATGACAGGAAGAAAGTATCAGCAAATTTGAAGACTAGTCAACTGAAATTAATCCAGTCTGAGGAACTGAAAGAGAAACACACCTTCAAAAAAACCCTTGGTGACAATTCCTAAAGTAATGAGGTGTGTATAGTTACAGAAAAGTGTATTTCTTACGTTTGCTCACTTCTCCATTTATTTTTAAATAGTGAGCAATTAGTTCAGAGGAGCAAGAGGATCTAATATACTGTTCCAGTATTTCATGAGTCAATGAGGCTGGGTGATTATATCAGATTCACTTCTTTTTTTAAGTTTATTTATTTTGAGAGACAGAGCAAGTGAGCGAGCAAGGGACAGAGAGAGAGGGAAAGAGAAAATCCCAAGCAGGTTTTACATTCAGCACAGAGCCCAATGCAGGGTTCCATCTCAAGGCCATGAGATCATGACCTGAGCGGAAATCAAGTCAGATACTTAACAGAGTGTGTGAGCCACTCAGGCGCCCCTATACCTGATTCAGTTCTTAGGTCAGTACTTCTGTTCTCCTTCCCTGATTCTTACCCCCAAACTAGTAAGAGTATGGGGGTGACAGCACAGACATGGGAGCCAGACTGCTCCTTACCTACTGAATTTGGCCTGGACAAATTTATTAATTGCTTTTTGCCTCAGTTTCTCCATCTATAAAATGGGAATAAAGTGGTACATATTTTAAAATTGTGCTTGGCACATAATAAGCACTGTAAAATCTCATTTTTATTGTATGTGTGTTTATGTAGTACATATTAAATTTGTTTTTGCAGGTTTTATTTTCATTAGCATGTTTAAACTTCAGGCGTTAATTTAGGTGGCCTGGGGGAAATATCAGTTACTCATATAAATTTGTAAGAAAATGCCAAGTCCAGCAAATATTCAAAGACTCATTTCAACAGCAAAGTAGTATAAATTAAAACCAGGAAATCCCTTTATTCCCATTAAATTAGCAGTGCTTAAGATATGAGTCCTATTACCATCAGGATTATGAATTAAAATAGGACTGTTTATATGTTACTAGTAGCAATGGAAATGGATATTACTCTTTTGGTAAAGAAAATTGCTTCATGTTTGAAAGCCTTGCAAATGTTCACATTCTTTGACCCAATAATTTCATATGATTTCCGTTGACAATAAAACAAAGGAGAAAAGCATATGCATAGATAGGTTCATTTAGCACTTTTTGTAAAAGTACTGAAAACAATGTAAATCCTCAACAGTGGAGCACAAAGTACAATTGAACAGCATAATGTAGTCATTAAAGTATAATTCTAAAACCATGTAAGAGATGGAAAAACATCACATGAAATGTTAAATGAAAGACCAGAACAAAAATACCATCTATGCTATGACTACCACAGGCAAAAATATTCATACAATCAGACAAAGACTGGAAGGAAATAGAAATTAAAAATAGATGCATTTAGTTGAGGGAATATGGGAAACAATTATATTTCCTTTGCTATTATAAACGTTTGTGCAATATAAACAAGTGCAACTTCACTATTTCTTTTTACCACCCTGCCTTCTAATTCTCACTAAATGAATCTCTTGTCACCTGGGAGTGGAGAGAAAGGGAAAGTTCTTTCGCAGTGTGCATCTGCTCTGTGACCTGAGACAGAGGAAGCCTAGCGGGGGGACCCAGGTGCTGGTCAGGAGGGTGAAAGCTGCTGACGCCAGTGCCTCCTGAGCTTCACAGAGTGTGGAGAGATCAGGGACACCGGAGACCCGAACTGGGGACTGAGACCATGGCCATCCTTCAGGCAGCTTAACCCAATGGCATCAGGCACAGCACAGCCTTCTCAAGCCCCAGGCAGCACTGGCAGCTTTAATGATTTCACACAACTCTTTGGGAAAGTGGTGGCAGGTAAGTTAAAAAATCTCCAGGAGGAACAACTTCCCAAGCATTTCTGCCATGGCCCTGTGTAAGTAAGAACTAGAGATCCAGCTAGGAACAGCCCTGCTAGAAGCAAACATATACTAAATGGCTACATTTCCATCCCGAGACCACTTCAGTTGCAGATGGAGTTAGCCACCAGAAACACTGCTGTGCTTCTCCCCAGTCTCTGCCAAGGGTCTGTTCCTTTAACAAGGGGGAAGAAAGCACATGGAAGCCGAATGTTTGTTATTAAATTGCAATTTCGAGGGGTGGGATGGGGGGAGATTCCGTTCATTCACAGCTCATTTTCTTTCTCACTGCCTGGCGCCCGTAGTTCTAATTAAAAAGCAGCAGGGGCGGGAGGGGATGG